CAACTGAATGGGTCAAGAAGGAAAAAAGCTGCATTTATGTTTTTAGACACAGAGAAAGCCTTTGATGACGTGGCTTGGCCTTTTCTAATGAAAACCCTCCAACATTTAGACCATGGGTCCTCAAACTACAGCCGGCGGGACGGATCCAGCCCGCCATGCCCATTCATCTGGCCCACGTCGCTGCCCCCGCCGCACGGACAGGAGGTGGCTTGCTCACTCAGAGATGGTTTTAGACTCCTTGGGAGATCTCCCAGTGAGTTCAAAACCATCTCCAAGCAAGCAAGCCGCCGCCACCTGCCTCCCCTGAACACGTGTGCTTGCTGCTGCCTTGCAGCGTGGGTAGGAGGTGGTGGTTTGCTCACTTGGAGATGGTTTTGGACTCGCTGGGAGATCTCAGAGCGAGCTGCCACCTCGCACAGCCGAGGATGCCTCACCGGGCCATGGGCCCAGGCCCTCCCTCACCAACTGGCCCCCTATTGAAAAAGTTTGACAACCCCTATTTTAGACTGTGGCCCAAGCTTTTTGAACTGGATGCAGACAAATTATGCTAGACAACATACAAAGATTTTAATCAATGGTATATTAACTGACAGTTTTTAAATGGAGAAGGGAACACGTCAAGGATGCCCTTTATTGCCTCTTTTATTTAATCTCATATTGGACATCTTAGCAAAAAAGATAAGACAGGATCCAAAAAGTAAAGGCTTTAAAACAGGTAAAGAATATAAAATACCTGTACTATATTATCTGCATAACATTGTAATATAGCATTGACTATTTTGGATCCACATCAATCCATACAGCACATAATGGAGCAAGTTGAAAAAAATGGATTTTATTCAGGATATAAGATCAATAAGAAAAAACAAAAACTATATTAACATTTGTAACAAAACAAGAAGAGGAAAACATTTTAAAAAATCTCAGGATGTGAAATAACTTCAAATCCAGTTAAATATGTAGAGATAAACATCACAGGACATAACACACTTTTTCAAGGCAGTGATCAAACAACTTGGATGAAGATTCAAAAGGACTTATAAAGTTTAGTCCATTTATAAAAATGGACTAAACTTAAAGCATCTTGCTTGGGGAGAATTCCAATTGTAAAAATGAACATCTTACCTAAACTGGACTTTTTTTTTCAGATGATACCAATTGCAATACCGGAAAAAAAATCTTTCAAGATTGGCAGAGACAATTAAATAGTTTTATTTGGAATGGAATAAAACTGAGGATCAGATTTAAAATGCTTCAGGATGCAAAGGAGAGAGGAGGACTTGCTGTACCTAATTTGAAGTTATAGTACTATGTAGCAGACCTGGTCTATATTGCTAATTTTAAATGTTAATGATAGGCAAGTGAAGTTGGAATTGGTCGATCTTGAAAATGAATACTTAAACTTTTATGAGCTAAAACATCAGTTAAGAAGGCTCTGATCTTAAATAACAACCATGTTCTAAGAGACAGTTTAATAAAAATAGGTATTCTATGAGGAAAAAAATTAGTCCTCCAATTTCCCCCCTGATGTCCCCAGTTGAAGCGTATGAAAAACACTCAATGAAGAATAATGATTTTATAACTTATCCAAGCATTATTGATCAATCAATAATGTTAAATTCAGTTAAATCTTGGCAACAACTGAATGATGAAAGGAAAATATGTAGTGGCTCATTTATCATCAATTGATTTCAAGTCTGAAGGAGGAAATGCAGTCAGATGAACGCATCTTAAGAGATCTGACAGATTTTGAAAAACTGATTACAAAGCAGCATGATAATCTACTGGGAAGTCTTTATAAATTGTTATCACACTATGATATTGAAAGCCATCAAGACAAGAAACATATGACAATCTGGGAACAGAATCTAGGTGAAGAGATATCACCTAGTCAATGGGAAACTCTTTGGAAGAAAGATAATAAATTTACTGCTAGTCAAGCATTGAGAGAAAATTGGTATAAGATGTTTTATCGGTGGTATAATACCCCAAAAAGATTTTGGAAAAATAGATAAGAATTATAATGGCAAATGCTGGGAAAGCAACAGGGTGGATGGGACTTTCTACCACATGTGGTAGACATGTGAAATAATACAAAATTTTGGAAACTGATACATGCAGAAATGCAGAAAATCTTCTAAATTAAGTTTGCTATGAGTCCCAAGAGCATGCTTTTGAATATCATCCCAGAGACCCCTTTGAAAAATGTCAGAGTTATTTAAGTATATGACAACAGCAAGAATCTCAATAGCTCCTAAATGGAAATCACTGGAGCCCCCAACTATTGAGGAATGGAAAAATAAATTAGCAGAATATGCAGTGATAACAAAGCTAACCAACTGTGTAAACAGAAGACTAGAAGAATTTAATGATAAATGGAAATTTGATTGTGCTGAGCATGATTAATGGAAGTTCAGGGGACATAGGAAAAGAAAAAGGAAAGCGGTATCTGTTGATATATAATGATTTCTTTTTGGTAAACTCTCATAAAGCATGGGAAGATAGTCAGTTTGGAGGGTTGTAATATAGGGTGTATCTGTTTAAATTATCTTGCCAATCTTGTCTATTTTGTCTATCTTGTTCACTTTAGTTTGTTCTGTTCTTCTACATTTTTATGTACTCGTACATGTTAAGAAAATAAAAAAATTAAAAAGAGAGAAAGGAAAATGAGAAGCAATTAATTCCAAGGTTTCTTGTTTAGAGATAACCTATACAGCAAATACTAATCTAAGCCAAAACTGAGACAACCAATCTGAATTATTAAATTGTAGCCCTGTGCCACCTCATGCAGGAGCAAATCTCCTTGAGTACAGAGGGACTTAGTTCCAGATAAAAATGCCAGGGATTCATCCACTACACACTGCCACTACAAAGTGATATCGCAGGACTGAACAGGAGGCAATATCCTAGCAGAACAAATTTGGTGTAGTTAACTTCTGTTGAATACACACCTCTCTATATTAGCCGGATTGCAGAAAAGTTGTTTCTCCATTTTCTCACATCCTATGGTTAGTACAGAGATAAGAGTGTATGGATTCAGTTAGAAATGAAATAAGGAATCGTGCACAATTGCATTCCGACTATGAGATTTGGAGCTCAACTGGCAGTGCTCATCCAGTTCAGGGGATGGATATACTAAGAGATGACTCTAGCACAAGGCTTCAGAGGATGGTTACAGGGATATTAAAAGGCCTTAGAGTACATGGTAATGCCTTAGTGCGGCTCAGCAACATTACACATCCTGTTCAACTCAATGGGGCTTGCACAGGAAGCATTCCTGGAAGACGCAGAGCACATGCTGTTAGTACCTAAAAGCTTCAGAAAGTAAGGGTGCTAAAACACCAGCTCTGCATTAGGCATAAACCACAGGAAGCCTGGAAATGGCAAGGAAGGACTGATCACATGCAGCTAATCACAAGCAAGTTAATGTTAGGCTTGGCAGACAGCCAAACTAACTAGAAACTAAAGGGTTCTTGGGGGAAAAGTGAACAAGCTGGATCAAGTTAGTTCTCCTAATGCTAAAAGCCAACTGAAGAAGAAATTGAGAAACATTCATGTTTTAAAAAATTTCTTCATCAACCACTTGGCAACAAATGTTGACAGCCCTTATTTCTCTAAGAGCTGCACATATTTCCTCATGGAAAACTACCACAACATAGACAAGCTTGGCTTGGGATCAGAGTTTAAAGGAACTCAGAGGTAATCTAATCTAATCTGCTGCTCAATGAAGAACTGGTTACATAGATGTATCTACAACATCCCAACAGAGAGCCATCCAGCCCCTGTTTAAATATCTCCAAAAAAGGAGAGCCCACTACTTCCTGAGGTACTTTGTTTCAGGCTCCAACAGCCCACATTATTAGGATTTCCTCCCTAATTTTTAGTCAAAATATGCTTCCTTGAGTTTTCCAGACAGTGTTGCTCCATCGGGCATGAAAAGAACCAGGGAACAAGTCTGCTCCATCTTCTGCATGACAGCTCTTCAGATATTTGTTGACTATCATGTCTCCCCTTAACCTTAAAACTTGGACAATTCTTTGAACCTTTTCTCATGCTTCATAGGATTTGATTGTCAGAGCCCTCATCATTCTGGATGCCCACCTTGGAACATGCCCCAGTTTGTCAATGTCCTTCTTGAAATGGGGTATCCAGAAGTGGACAGGACACAGTATACCAGCTGCATCCTGACCAGAGCTGAACAGAAAAGATCTATTACATCCCGTGACCTGTACACTCTACTGCTGCGGATGACCCCTCATGGTGACTGCCTTTTCAGCAGCTACATTGTACTGCTTCTCCAATATTCCTTCCATGTTCTTAATGCAGAGCAGGGAGAGAAAAAAATATGAGAAAAAACAAAACTCTTGGGTTCCTTACATAATTCAGGAGGCTGACCACCCAGAAAAGTCCTAGTTGTTTCAAGCTAGGCATTTTGCAGTCATTAGGATTGCACTATTAGTAATCATGTTAATACAAAAGTCAGTCATACTGTTTACTATGGGACTTTCATCCTATTGAGAATATTAGGATTGCAGCCAAAGTACTTTCTTGCTGTAGAGAACTGTGAGTTGCAGTCACTCAAAACAATCCAAGTGAGCTATTATTAGTAAGATGGCTTATCCTAAGATGAAGAGATGTGGAACTTGTAGGGATCCAAACTGCCATTCACTTCTCTCTTAAATGTCCAAACAAAATCACTTTGAGTTCAGAAAGTTTTTGATTCAAAATAATTAATTCTGTAAACATGCCTTGACCTACCCCAGAGTTCTAAGGTCCACATTCAGTTTCCTGAATTATCAAGAAACTGCATGTGGATCAAAAGCCTGTGTCCAACCCTCCTGTTACTGAAAATTGTTTCCATCATATGACCTTGTGCTGAACATGGATCAAGTTGCAAAGCTCATTTTACAAGAGGAATCCCAAACCGTGAGGATACAGCTGATCTGCACCTGAAAGCACCAGCCTTGGGAATACACTGATAAGTTACAATTGGTACTTACTTTCTAGATTTTTAAAGTCCCAAACAGGCAGATTCAGGTTCTTCTTCCAGAGGCCAGTGAGCAGTTCTTGGCATTCACATCATAGGAAACCAAATTCTTAAATTCTGAGCTGTTCGTTTAGATTTAGAGCCTGCTATAGCTCTTGCTTGTGGTTCCTCTTGCAATATATAAAGGAGTCCTGTGCCCTAGAATTTCCAAAAGGAACCTTTGGCAAAGGGAGATCAGAGGATGCACATTCTGCAGCCCTAGTTGCCCACTTCTTGCATTCTTTCCAGTTGTGAAGAGCAGCTTCTATCTGCCCCCAAAATGGCAGTAACTGAGCAAACATATTCCTGAGAATCAGCAGGAGAGGGTACTAACTGGAGAATGGCACCATTTATCATCACTGGAGCTCCTGAGACATGAAGCTGCCAGAGTCATTCCACCCAGCAAACCCTGGTAACTAAAGGCACTTCACTGCCTGTTGGGGGGATATTCAATGGCAGCAAGAGAGTATACATGAGAAAGAGGAGATGATGTTTGAGCCCCTATCTAATCAGAAGTGCAAGTATGCTGTATTTCTGCATAACGCAATGGTAGGTATAGAAACCACCACTCTCAGAATCTTCTGCTTTGTTACTGTTCTTACAGTGTCAGAGAATATTTCAAGGTGAGTAATGCTCAGTAAAAAAAAAATCTCAAGTCATCAGGTTTCAGAGTCCTCACCCTTCCCTAGGGCTAGTTAGAAGAACAATATACTATGTAAAAGAAACAAAGAGATGCAAACACAACTTGAGCAAGCTTTCCAAATTAAACCAAATTATAACACATGAGGATTGTGCATTTTATTTAACAGGCAGATCCAAAAATCAACACAGTAGTAACAGTATGAGAGCCCTAGCTTGGAAGCCACCAAAAGCAATCTTATTCATGCAGGAAGAAATCTGAGAAAGGCTGCATAAGATTGGGGATAGTTTCTGCTTGGACCGTGTATGCATAGTTTGCAGATGCTAGGGAGGTGGGCTTTCTCCTGATTCATCTACATTGCAAATCAGCATCACATTATACTGAATGGCTATTGATGATGGGATGACAGGCAGAGCCCTTTTAAACTTCTCCTCATGAAGCTTGCTTTCAGTTCCTTGGGTCATCTATGTTACCCTTACTGGCACATGCATGCTAATTTTCCTAATATCTACATTAGATATCACAATCCATTTCTTCCCACCACTTTTCTAACCACACTCTCATATTATAACATGCTTAGACACCCACACTGCAGGCAAGCTTTCTCTTTTAATACAGCAAAAGCCAGTATCTGATAAAGCTGATATTCCTGGATAAGCAAATGACCTTGAGTTTGGTTTAGTAGAGCATGTGATGCTGGAATGGATCCAGGTTGTTAAGCAATCCTGTTTAGAACACCTCTCCCTGGGTTGATTGCCTCTCCCCTTTGGTGCAAAGACCTGCAGGAGTAACCCAATGGTAGATCTTAATATGGAGACTCTCAGTCATTAATAGGGAGTCAGAAGCAGCAGCTGAGCTGCCCTCTTCTGACCTAATTCTTATTTTACAATTTCCCAGTTACCTCCACTTCCACCTTGCTCTTGCTCACTCTGCCCCACCCAGTTTCTACAAGGATTGTCTAACGTAGCCACTCTCCAGATATATTGAACTAACTCCCAGCCATTCAAAAACATCTGGAGGGTGCCAGGCTGGGTGAGTTTTTGTCCTTGTTAGAATCTTTCCTGGGACATGCTTGCCTTAAGCTACTCCTCCTTGTCCTAAGTATTCCCATGGTGACACTCTCAACTCTGACCTCCCTGGCTGTAAACTGAGAAGGGAGCTTGGTCACTTTTGTACTGTGTGTGACTGCTGCCATTCCTTTGTACCAGCAAGAGAGGAGATGGAGATAAATAGATATAAACTAGGAACTGTGTGGCAGGAAGACATTTAATCTCTCTTCCACCTTTTTGAACAGCATTAAAGATGCTTAGATGCTTTACAAGCATAGCAAGGAGGAGAAAAAGACTGAGGCTGGGCTAGAAAAGAAACAAACGGTTCTGGGCACCAAGATTTATGAAAGATGCAGAAAATTTAGAAAGGGTCCAGAGGAGGGCAACAAAAATGACCCAGGCTTTGGAAACACTGCCCTGTGAGGAGAGACCGAGAGAACTGGGCATGTTCAGCCTTGAGAAGAGAAGACTGAGGGGGAACATGATATCCTCTATAAGCACCTCAAAGGCTGTCACAAAGAGGAAGATCAAGAGAGCCAGTGTGGTGTAGTAGTTAAGAGCATGGGACTGGGACTCAGGTGATCTGGGTTCTAGTCCCTGCTCGGCCATGGAGCCAACTGGGTGACTTTAGGCCAGTTGCAGACTCTCAGCCCAATCTACCTCACAGGGTTGTTGTGGGGATAAGATGGAGGAGGAGAATGATGTAAGTTGCCTTGAGCCCTTTTTAGGAAAAAGGCAGGATATAAATAAACTAAAAAAAAGATCTCTTCTTGCTGATGCCAGAGTGTAGGACATGTAATAATAAATAAAAGTTGTGACAACCCAGATTCAGACTGGACATCAGGAAGAGCTTCCTCACTGTCAGAGCAATATGACAGTGGAAGAAGCTGCCCAGAGAGGTGGTGGACTCTCCCACACTAGAAACATTCAAAAAGGAACTGGACAGCCATCTGAGTGGCATGGTATAACTTGGTGTCCTGCAACAGCAGGAGGCTGGACCCGCTGGCTTTCTTGGCCCCTTCCAACTCAACTGTTCTGTTATTCATTTGATGCAATCACTTTCATACAGGCAGGTGCAGCTGCTCTAAAGGCCTGATGGGCATCAACAGCAAAAGGAGAACAATCTGGATGATGAGGCATGTATTTCATTACCTTAGATCCTTACTTATCCTAGAAATCTGCAGTAAGATTCGCCACTGGATGTTCACTACCATTCTGTACCAGACATCCCCCTACACAGACAAAGACACAAGTCTGCCAAAGAACTTGCTTTTTCATAATACTGGGCTTCAGTTTCAAAAATAAGAAGAGCCTCGTCATATTCCCCTACATTCTATGGCATTATACAAGCTGTTTCTCGTTCAGAAGAGAAAGGAAAATACATACACCCATGCACTCCAGGCATGCTCAGAGGCATCCTTTTCACTTCCACTGTTATACACATTACACAGCTGAACCTTAGCGCTCCTTTTCTCTCGCACCCCGCTCAGACTCACCCACTGCCACTACCTGCTCCGACCCGCGCCGCAGCTCTTTTAAGTCCATGCCTCTTCCTCGCTCTCTGCCCTCGGCTCAGATTCCGTCTCAGCGCCGCCTGCAAATATGACGTCATCGGAGTGCGTCAGCAGACTTCGCGTGTAGCATCCTGTATGAGCCTGGGTGCTCGTGCGGCCGGCGGTTCGCTCCAGCGCAACAGATAGGGATAGACGCCAAAAGAGAGCACTTGGGTTTTGCTTTGCCAACTGTTTTCCTCAGGCTTGGGAAGCAGTGCCTTTGTATACTGGTTTTACGCAGGGTAGTGCATACTGTTTATACATGATCACACCACCCTGAAGTAGAGTACCCTGAAGTCAAGAGGACGAGGAAAAGAAACCCTACTTCGAAAGGAAGAAATAGCAACGCCACAGCCACAGCAACGCCAAGAAGCCGGTGCCAGCTTCTCTCCCGGTCTGCTGCAGAGGGACCCGGGGCAAACAGTGGGCATCCTATGGCACTTTTCCTTTCTTCCTGCATTGCTGTATTTGCATCTCTCAACCGCACGCCTGTGGAAGACCCACTTTCTGCCGCATTTTCGAGGAGCACGGGTCATGACCGGAGGAATCGTAGAATAGTAGAGGGACCATGAAGGCCGTTGGGTCCAACCCCCTGTTCAGTGCAGGACTCTAAGTTACACCCTCCCATTTGGATGACTCTCCAGATGCTTTTTGAATGTCTTCAGAGATAAGAGTCCACAACTTCCCCAAGCAGTAGGTTCCATTGCTGTACTGCACTGACAGTGAAGAAATTCTTCCTGGTGTCTAGTCTTAATCCGGTTTAAGTCCATTATTCCACAACCTGCGTTCTGAAATGAATGAGAACAAATCTTGTCCTTCCTCTTTGTGACAGCCTTTGAGGTAGTTGTAGAGTGCTATCATATCTTCAGTCTTTTCTTCCTGAGGCTGAACATGTCCAGTTCTCCCAATCTTTCCTCAGAGGGCTTGCCTCCAGTCCCTGAATCTGGGTTGCCCTCCTCTGCACCCTTTCTAGCTGTTCTGCATCTTTTTTAAACTTAGGTGCCTAGAACTGGATACACTACTCCAGCTGAGGTCTGACTAGTGCTGAGTATAGTGGAACTAGTACTTCACATGTTTTGGAAGTGATGCTTCTCTTAATGCAGCCCAAAATAGTGTTTGCCCTTTTTGCAGTTACATCACATTGTTGGCTCATATTTGGCTTGTGATCTCCAACAATACCAAGATCCTTCTCACTTGCAGTATTGTTGACCCATGTATTCTCCATCTTGTAGCAATGCATTTGGTTTCTTTTCCTAGGTGGAGGACTTGGGATTTGTCCCTGCTGAATTTCATTTCATTCTATTGTTCTCTACACAGCATTCTAACCTATCTTACCTGTCTTCCAGCGTATTTGCTATTCCACCCAGCTTTGTGTCCTCTGTAAATTTAATTATCTTTCACTATGCTTCCTCATCTAAATCAATAAAAATGTTGAAAAGTCCACCCCACTTTCTCCCTTTGCAACTTTCCTCCTCAATCCACTCTCTCAGTAGCTGTGGTGGCCCGAACCACCCAACTGAATAAGCAACATACCCCCTCCTCACACATTGTCTCTGTTCCTCCCCAGAACCTGTTTTCTGTGGCAGTATTCTTGGGGTAGAAGAGGAAACATTGCTCCTCTAGCCCTGGCTGGAAAGACAATCCTTTGTCCTTGTCTGTAGTTATATAGCCATGAAGTAACAGGGTTTGCCACCAAGTACAACATTTACAAGTAAACAATAAGACTGCACATGCTCAGGGATAGGGTTGACAAGTGGCTAAAGTTGGCCTTGGCCTTTGCCATTCCAATATTTTTAGAATGGAAAACAAGTTTTCTTCCCTTTAAACATGGACACACCATATGACCAGGGGTTTTTTGCCCCACTGAAGTCAATGCAAACTATTACTGAAAGCCACATAAATGAAGGGCACCAATTTGGGGAACTGGGGCACAATAAGGGATCCTATTGAAAATTTCTCTTTAGCAAGAAGGCTGCAGCTTCCTCCCCCAAACCCAATAGTTGAAATTGGCACTGTTCAAACACAGTATTAGTTATCAGCACAATTACTGCAAATCAAAACAAAATAGCTTTCCAAAATATCTGTCCAGTCACTTTGGTAGCCATTTACTAATATGCACAAGTTGGTTGTATCAACCTCAAATCAACAGTAATGAAATAGAAAAGAGCTCCATAAACCAGGAGTGGGGGGCCAGTCTGAACTTAAGGGAGTGATTTCTTGCTTACTGCTAGATGGCAACTGAAGGCTCTTCTAGATTGGTAGCAAGTCTCAATTGCTACCTAAAACTAAAATCATTGTGATTAGAAAGCCTGTTGGGACACTCAAATTGCTGAAATGTTATCACTTGTACGCTGCTCCCCTTTCCTGACCAAAGCAGGATTTTATTTGTGTATCTTGATTATAAAGCTGAACAGTCTAGGAAAGTTTGGTTTGTCAGCAGGAAAGCTTAAGCAGTCAACATTCCACTGTCACACATAACTGTAATTATATATTTTACCATATATATTATAATAATATATATGCTATATAATTATAACAATTATGCCACACATAATTATGACTGTAGGCCTGTCATAAGCAGAGTTGGCCGGAGCTGGGGCCCGACAAGATGGCCTGGGAGACCCCTTCTGACTCACTCTGTGTTTCTATACACACAGGGTACCTTTGTTGTCACATGCTGTGGGAATGAAAAACGTGGATTGTGTGGGTTGTCTGAAGACAGCTCAAGCAGTTTGCTCACACTGCTTGGATGAGGAGGAGGAGAATGTGAATGTGGGGCCAAATATCTTTATTAATTGCAGGAGTGATTCAACATCTGTTACATGGTGCTTATGCTTATCTTTCATCCCTCAAAATCGAGTTAGAAGTGCAGCACATGGATCAAGTCTGAGAGGTGCCAAGGTATCATGCTGCCTACCTATACAACGTGTTTCTGAAAAATACAGAGTGAAAGCTACCAGAGCCTCAAAACATTTCTAGAGCATGATATTCATGTGGAAGCAACAGTCAGTGTGTCTTCAAACACATGGCATGGAGCAACCTTATGTAACTGAATGCCCTACAGATATGCTGGAGAGCAGCTTATAATGCCCAAAGAATTATAGTCCTCCACTGCTGTGCAGTGCAACTGGAAGGCACCCGGCTGGGGAAGGTGACCTTGGAGGCAGAATCCTGGCAGTTGGTTTAGGCTGAGAATGGTTGATAGCGGAGGTCTTATGCCCAAACTTAACATGAGAGAAAGTGCTGCTAGCAAATTCCTCAGAATACAAACACCGCTGGCACACAGTCTTACAATCCCTTTTATCAAAGCCATGCAACTGTTTTTGTGGAACAGTAAGTTCCTGCACCTGTGGGTGTCTCTCTTACATAGGCAACCCTTTTGTCCAACATTCAAATGTTAATCATGAGCTCTGGGTGGCTTCCTTCAACAACAGCTCTAGTCCATATCTCCTTGTGCTTTCTCTTAGATCTGGGCAGTTCAGAATAGGAATTCGACACAGAACCCAGGAGCTGCACAATAAATTATATTTCCATATCATAAAGTGTTTACAATATATTTACTTATACAATTAATATATTAAATGAGGGAGAAAACTGATATGAGGTCTCAGACTAATTGAATGAAATAGCATGCTTTCTGGGCAGCTCCATCTCTGACCATACCCCAGCTCCTCTGGGGTGGCCCATCCCTTTCTTCCCTGTTTCTCTGGCCCAGAAACCCTCCCATGTGACCCCCAGCCCTGCCTTCCTTCTTGGAATTGGAGTGCTGAGCCTCTTGTACTTGAGCCAAAGTTTCCCAGCATGACTCGCCCACTCCTGCTGATGAGCTCAAATGTTCTCAGCTCTCGAGTGCCTTTGCAGCTGCCAGGGGCATGCTGGGGTGAATACTTGCAAGGCTGCCAGCCTGACCCGCTCTTTTCCTGATCCTCAGGAAGGGAGCCTGCTGGGGCAAAGTGGCCTTGCAAGAACTTGCTGCAATCATGACTATGCCATTGCTGGGATCTGAACTGGAGGGGGGAGGGCTCCAAGTGGCAAGTGGAACACAGAACAAGGCCTCGGGGGGTCGCACGCAGCCCACAGCCCGTGTTGGACCACCCTATCCTAGTTGTATATGTTAGAGAGCAATGAACTGTGAGCTCCCTTAATCTGAAAGCATTGTCACCAAAGTATGGCATTGTATCTGCCTCTGCTGCTCCAATTTCAAGAAGTGGGTACATGCTATGCTTTTCACCCCTTGGCTGATGTCTCAAGAGATGTTTGCTGCCATTATCTCTAAAACAACTTCTGTGACTTGGGAACTCTCAGAGCCAACCCCTTCCCCTGCAATCTAGTAGACCCAACTGAAACTTAATGTAACACACTCAAAATTGCTCTATCGTAAAACTACCTCAAGAAGTAATGTGGATGCACACAAGACCATACACTTGAAGATGTGCTTAAAGTATTTAAACCCACCTTTTCTCGAGAGAGACATCCTAAAGCAGTCAGTTCAAGTTCATAATGTCAGAGACACAGAATTCATGAAGCTAAGAATATCTTTATGTGAACAGCAGTTTACCTTTATAATTCTAGATGACAGTATCCTTTACAAAAAGAAATACAAGGAATTTGCTTCCAGTTTTTCAGGAAGTAAAACACAGACCCACATTTGAAAACTAACTAGTCTTTTGCAGTTGGTATGCATCTGGTCAAAGCTTTTGTTAAAGGATCAGAATGCCCCATTCACAGATTTCTATGGAGTAGGGGCAGAGGATGACTGGGCTGCACAACCCCCACAAGAAGTAATTTGGGGGACACTAATTTTCTCCCCCATTCTAAGCAATAGCTCCAAGGTATTCTTCGGATGTGTGAGGAAGCTCTAGCAACTGTCCCATCAGTTTTGTAATTTACCCCAAGTGGGCAGCATCTTGAAGTGGCAAAACCTGTGGGAAGCCCCAAGGTGTGGTGCAAGGGAGGCTAGAAATGCAGAAGGGAGTGTGAGCACCTGGGGCAGCAGGCCTCCCCCAAAGAAGCTGGGAGACTGTACTGTAAAAAGCCCCTTTCCACAAAGAATGTACTACCAACACTGCTTTGACAGGGGAACACCATGCAAAGCTTCGGTGGGGCGGGGAAGTGCACAGAAAAGGAACAGGAAGACTTTAATTGAATAATGGGCAACATGTGAAGCCCACCAAGTTACCACGGGGCATCCTTGGAGGATCACCTCCTGGATGCTCCAAAACAGGACTGGGACAGCATCCTTTACCACTGCTTTTGTAATCTTATTCCAGATGTCTACACATGTTGCTTTGGTGCTCAGGGATGCTGAATGCCCACTAGCCCCTTAAATACCATACGGAGACTTTTGCCACTGTTGCCATACTGTTTTTTTTAATTTGACCATAGTTTAATCTTGTTTTTTGGGCTCAGAAAACATTAGTCATGGTGGATTTATTAAACCCTACAATGGGCAATGGATAGTTGAGGTGGTTTATTTTATACCACCCTGCAGGAATAGTGCACTGTACAGACAATACAATAAACCAACATGGTTAATGTGTTGTATGAATCCCACTGATGTGTCCAGTTTGTAGCCCTCCTGTGTTTTCCTGTCATTTCCATTTTCTTTCTAACCAGAAAAAGTCAATTATGGAAGAAAATACATAGTTGCACAAGACTTTTTAATTGGTAGCACCAGATCCGGAAGCTCCTTTGCAAAATACATTTGAAATTAAATATACAGATTATTAACTGAGCTAATCCTGGGACTTCAACATGAAAGCTAAAAGGTTCTCGTATTTTCATACTTTTAAAAATATTATAAATAATTGCACTAATTCAGAATTGCACTTCTTTTTTTTGACAAAATACTAAAAACAAAATTAAGTCTTTGTTACAACTTTACAAAATTAATGATTTAAAACAATTGGCCATTATGACAATGCTGGAATAGTCAACTGACTGGGCTCATTTTACCAACACTCACAGCTAGCTGAAAGGACCATCCAAGAGTGGGAAGAGACAGCACAATTAACCTGTACAAGAGTTCACCACGTCAATGTCTAAACCTGGCTATCTATATTTCCATACCTGAAGTGAAAAGTCAAAAATGCTTCTCATCCTTTGCAACTGGAGCTCATTTTTTAAAGAAACACAGAAAAAACAGAAGTTATGCTCCTCTGTAATCTACTGCTCGAAGCAGCTGTTCCGGGATAACGCCAGCACTGGAATTCACCTAAGTTGAGGAAGTAGGCTGATTCTCGTGATTGCTGCCATGCACCATGGTTTATTTGACGGTCAGGATCTGTTGTAGGGTTAACTCTCAAGAAACCCTTGCCACTCAGGAGTAAACAACATGACTAACCATGGCAACTGCCCTGTTAGGGCAGAATATTTTAAATAGCTACTGGTATACACCATACTGCACTATGGCTTAAACAAGCCATGGTGGTCTACAGGGGTCATACGTGAGTTAGGTCTGGACTAGGAACCTGTAGACTCCAGATGGGTGGATGCTGTGACTCTTCTGAACAGGTGAAGTTCCACATTGCAATAGCCACAGGGAACAGGGTCAGTGTCTTGTTCAAATTGTCAACATATATGCCGACATCTTCATTCCTTACCTCGTTGTGACATCTCGCCTACATGGAACTGTATGCAAAAGACAGCTGCAAAGGCCAAGCCGCTCACAGAAAGTATTTCCATGCATGGTTGTGAACACCAAGTTACTGCTTTTCTCTTCTGCCACAGTACAGTACGCCCTCACTCACCTGTGTCAGAAGCCAGCTGGTGAGTTCCAGGTCTGGCCAAACCTTGCCTGCCTAGTCCTATTCTATTGACAGTGGCGTATGTTCTTCACTGCCTGCTTGCCCAGTGAGCATGCCCCTGTCTTCCATGTATATTTTGGAGACAGTACTGGAAAAAATAAACTTATTTACCAATACATGATTGAAAGTAGGCCATCTTCAGCATTAATTTCAGGTCCACAAAGCTTCTGCAGGATGGAAATGGAAATACCATCCACAGGCTGGCATCCCCATCTGATCTAGAATAGGATTTGTTCCAAACCAGGACATCTAAATGATACCTCCACCAAAGTGAGTCCTGCAATGGATGAGGCACGGGACTTTGTTCAATTTCATTCTGTAGCATCCTGAACTTGGCAGGTGCCAGTCTGATAATACACTGGTGTAGTGAAGAGTAGTTTATCCCATTTGGGCCTTGCCTGGGGAAACAAAGCAACACTTCTGAGCCAAATGTAACATCTGAAACAGCCACCCATAAGCAGGCAGCATGGATGGCTCAAAGGCCCTCAAAAGCAACACAAAATACTTTGCCTTGACCTACTCGTGCTACGTCTTTAAGAATTTTTTTCTTCCATAAAAAACCTTTAAGAGCCGTATTTGCCACTGCAGTTCTTTGGCAAACCTCCGGGTTCCATATGGCCTGGGAAAGGCAATGACTTCAGAGTCTAATGCAGCCTCATTAAAGGATAGACAAACTGAAAACTTCATTCCCTCCCCAGCCCTAGGTGTCTCTTGTTCAGATGCCAAGGACTAGCTCAACGGCTCTATGTGGAACTCGTAAAGAGTACACAGGAGGCAATGACATGAGCCACCAATCCTTGCCTTTGTCATTGCCACAGAACAGACCGCAGCAGGCTTTTTCAGTCTCAGCAAGCCACATCCAGTCAGGCTGTATCTCAGGAAGGCCAGTAAGAAGTCCCAGTGCAGACCCTTCCTTTCACATGCTAGAGCTTTCAGTTCACCACCAGCACATTTTCCTGTAGTGGGTTTCTGGGGGAGAAAGGAAAAAGAACCACTGATCTCTCCTAAAGCTTGTTTATGACTGTAAGAGCTTTACATTAAAATATTCTGCTATTTATGCCCTACCTATTTATTCTCCAGTGTGGCCCACAATCACCACTGAATGTGGCCCTGAAAGCTTCTCCAAAATGAAACTCAGCTTTTGGCTGAAAGAGCTTCCACCCCCTTAATCTGCAATGTGTCCTGAAGTCCAGACCCCTCTGCAGCAAATCTGCTCTGACAGGAAGGGAGAACAGCACAAGCAGTACACAGGAGAGAGGAGCTAGATGGGGTAGACCTTCATATTTTTGCTGCTGCGTTCTCTTAAAGTAAACATGGAGCCTTCCCACCTGAGTCAAGTTGATGGGGACAGAGAGAGTCATTCATGTCCCTACTCCTGTAAACTCACCGCTCACAGCAGCAGAAGATGGAGCATGAGGAAGCACTCTCCCTGCGGAATTTGCCAGATCTAGGGCTGTCCTTGCACTCTGCTATGTAGGCATGGAGCTGTGTGACAGCTGCTTCTCCCTCACATTGATGCTGAAAGAACAGGAAACAGGAGGGATCACATGCAGCCTTTGTGGCAGGGCCCGGAGCACCTGCAAGCCTTCTGTAACAGTGAGCTGAACAGCAACCGGTACAGCCAGGGCAGCTCTGAGACTAGGAACATAGAAAGCTGCCCTATAAGGAATCTGTTTAGTCCAGTGTTCTTAACAATGAGTGGCAGAAGCTCTCCAGAATTTCAGGAAAAGAATTTTCCCTCCTTCCCTGGAGAACTTTCTGCATGCAGCTCAAATGCCTTACTACTGAGCCACAGCCCCTCAATAGGAGGACAGGGACACCGAACCACCACTCTCTCTGGGGAAAGTGGGGTTTTGAAATGAACAGCACCTCCCCTCACCCACCCACTTTGTTGCAGCTCACATCATATGTGGGAGACTGGTCCCAGTATGCAATGTTTTATCCAGGCATTTGGGCAAAGCAGCCCTATGAGCAGGAGTGGAGGCTCCCAACAAGACTCACCTTGATGGTTTCATAGGAGCCAGTGATGAGAGCAATGAAGAGACTGAGCACCATGTAGATGAAGAGGCTAATGAAAGTATAGAGATAGAGCTGGCTGAAAAGCCACACCAGGTAGCTGCTGTGCTGCATGGCGGCAAAGGTCACAAACATGTCGTCCCCGTTGATGAGGGAGAAAAGGCACTCGGAGACCATTGAGAGGGTACGGAACTGAAACCAAAAGAAGAAGCGAAGAACTGAGGGCAGATGAGGGAGACTCAACAGGCAAGCCAGAGAAACTGCCTGGGGCCACTCTGAGGAAGGCGTTGATAATGCTGCTCCCCCAGTCATGTTTCCTGCATTCTGCAAGCACAACTGTCCAGGGTCGACTGCCTCCTTCACGTATGCTGGTCCAGTTTGGATACTCCTACATAGACTGGATTTTACAAACCAGACCAGTTTGGGGCACAGACCTGAGCTGCTGGACTTCATCCAGCAGCCTTCAAATCGGCTGTGCAGACATTACAGCTCAGCTGAGCACCAGAGTGCAACAAAATACACAGACCACCTGTTACAGGTTACAGAGCTTGCAAGCTGCACACAGATGCACTCCTGACACTGAGGAAGTTGCATAGATCTGGAGATGGTATAACCTCATTATGGCATCTACACTTGCAAGTACTCTCCACTAGGAGAGAACATGAAATGCCCGCATGAGATTCTGCACAGCAAAACTAGGACAAACTCTCCACTTCTCACTGGAACATAGGGAGATGGCAGCTACATCACAGGCAGATAGGCTGAGTCATCATACGGACCCTGGCACAAGTGGAAGGCTGGCCAAACGCCATCCATCCGCACTCCTGATTCCACATACCTTGACATGGTATGGTCCCAGAACAATCCAGCCGCAGAAGCAGTAGCCCAGATAGATGACTGCCACGCAGCAGCAGAAACGGATAACGTTGGGGAGAGCGACACGCATGGTGACAATGAGGATCTAGGGAGGTGTCAAACAAGAAGAACTTAGGTGGAAGAAGCGTAATTGGATTTGAAACCACTAGTTTAGAAGCCCTAGATTAGGTTCTGAGCCTCCAAGCTGATGTCCCGGATCAGCTCTAGAGTTGCTGGATAGCCTTGGTCTAGTCGGCAGTGTTCCAGAGAAGGAAAACGATGCTGCAGGAGCAGTGCAACAAGCAAGGGTGCGCCTGCACTATGGCAAGCCAGCAGACAGCACCAGTGCAAAATAGGGTGCAAGAGTTATCATCCTGTGAATCCCTGCTTTTTTAAAAGAAATGCAAATCTAGAAATCATTTCAGGTACAAAATCTTGTTATTTCTGAAGTGGCCGCCTGTTATTAAAGTGGGTCAGGGATAGAAGAAAGCAGCTCAACTTACATTGTACTTTTGGAAGAAGCTGAGGTACCGCATGACACCGACCCAGACTAGTAGTGTAGAGGTGCCCAAGAGGATGCCACACACATCGTAGTTGGCAAAGTTCTGCAAGCAAACCACACAGCATGCAGAATGGCTTTTAGGCTCCTTGAGGTGTGCTAAGATTTGCAGCTCGGGATCTGGTAGATTCCCAGGTCCCTTCCCAGGTCCTGCAGATTCTATCCTACAGCAGGGCAAAACAGTTCTTTACCTTGGACTCAATTCCAATCTTCATTATGGTCCCTGACACTGTAAGGACATCGCTCACCACGAGCAGGATGTACCAGCCATTGACAAATTCCATGCGGTCAGATAGGCAGATGTCTTGGTTGTAGCAGCGCTGAAAGAACTGGCTGAACTCCTGAACACAGAAAGGAACAGCTGTGAAATACCCACCTATAACAAAACACAGGGCTTCCTGATCCCACCATCCCAAGTCTCTCCATCTCTTCCCCTGCTCCAGAGGTCAGGAAGAGCTTAGAAGATCATCAGGGTACCTTGGAGGCTGCTCAGCTATCTTCCTGAACAGAAGATCTAGCTCCTGCTGCACCAACAAGACACATAATGACCGGGTTTGCACAATGTAAGTCACCACAGTGGGTTAACATGTTATCTGAACCCAACACTGCTCCTTTGGGGTGGCTTAGTCTCAGGCAGGAGCTAGAAGCAGGCCCTTGGCTTGGCTACATTGCCCTGTTAAGCCCTTTGCTGGCTCCAGGCTCCTGCCTGGGAGGAAGCTGTGCAGGCAGGAGCTCCTTTTTGAATCTGGACATTTCGCTGAACTATTTTAAAGGAGAAGTTCTCATGAAACCTTCCCCACAGGGCAGGACTGCATGTTTGCTAAGCTAGCCTTTGTGTTCTTAGGATTTTCACACATTTTTGTTCAGTTCTGTTTTCTGGTCTTTGCGTAAGAAGGTCCACAGTATCTTTCTTGGGCTGAAGGAAAGTTCCTTGGCAGATTGGCACAGAGTTCCCCAAGCAGGTGGGCAGACTATGTTGTGGCTAGAGGGTCAACCTGACTGGTGGCAACCCATTGCAATTTGGGGGGGGGGGCGCATCTGGAAACCACTCTTGACTGGCATATTGTTTAGGGATGCTCTGATAGGCTAATTTGCCTATACTTTCTCTCTGCAAGCCCAGGGTCTCTATCTAGGTACCCTGTGTTTAAAGTTGCCTGGGTACTCCTGCTATGCGCAGCTAATGACTGGACGCAGCAGGGGTCTCAAGGCATGGCCTACCCCTTTCAGTCCTCCAGCCACTATCCCAGGGCACTTTTGACAGCTGCCATCCCCTTCCATGTCCTCTGAACAACCCTGTTCTCCCAACATCAGCACAAGCAAGGGGGAAACCTGGCAGGGGCACATGCTACCTCATGCTGGGCTTCCAAGCCTAGGGCACGGTGGCCCGTCCTACTGTTCTGCTGAGCAGTACTGCAGGTGAGCTGCAGAAACCTGCCCCACTTGGTGAGTGGCTCAGCAAGTGTGGGAGGACTTCTCTGTATCACTGTTGTACATGGTGACAGAGGAACACCCATGTGAAGCCAATGCACTCAGCTGGGCCTCCTCCCAAGGAGACATGGACAAACATGGGGTTGCCCTGCAGAGCAGCTACTGCTGGGCTGGGGTGTGCTGCCAGGTCCCCCCAAGGTTGCCCCACCTCTGTCCACAGCTGCAGGCGGCAGCATGTTTGTCAGGGTCTCCCCCCAGGTGTCTCACCAGCTGCACCGGGAAAGTGGCCTGGGATCTGCTCTACGCCCCTTCCCTAGCAGGGCTTAGGAAGATGGCATGGGGCAGGCACTACTGCACCAGCCACCACCTGTCCCATGTGCCCCCTCCTTGGCAAGGATGAGTTACATAGAGAGGGTGAGGGAGATGCAGGGGAGAGCTCCTTTTCCATCACACCGACAACCCGGGAAGGGGTGCACTGGACGATGGGCTTCCAAAGCCACGCCATCCCATGGAACTGGCAAGCAGAGTGGCTCTTTCTCACCTGCTCCTGCCACTGCAGCTGGTGAGACCCAGCCACTCGGATGCACTTGCTCTGAAGGTCTCCCTGCTGCATGCCACTTCCCCAGGCCCCGAATGGAGTTTAACTAAGCTGTGCATCGTACAGCCTGGCAGCTTCCTCTTGCACTCCTGCCAATGTGGGATGGCACATCATTTGCTGTCTGTCATCAGCTGGAGCCCCTTGGTCAGGTTTGCCACTCAGGCCAGCAGGCTCTCTAGTCTTTGGCTTGACCGTGGCCTAGTGTCATCCAGGCTGAGACAACACACCAAGCCAGGGGAGTTTCCTAACTCCTCCTACAGGTCATGGCCAGTCAGGCTGGTTTATAAGCCACCCCGCTGGGAAGGAGAGGAGTTCAGATGACACACTAAGCCACCCTCTAGGACTAAGTGTGTGATGAGAACCTAGTCTTCCCATCAATTCTGGTTGGGTTCTGTTAATCTTTAGCACCTCACTGACCAATATTTCTTGCAAAGTCTTTAGCCAATGTTTTGTGACAAACATCTTACTATGGTTCTGTCCCACACACATCATAATTGCCATCTTTAAAAAGCTGCTTTGTGCTTGACCACCCATCACCAGAGACTACTTATTTTCTGAGTCTGACAGTGTTGGATGGTGTAGTCTAGCCTTGTAAATTTCCAGAGGCTAGTCAAATCCCCCCTTTCCCTATTTTTGCACCCCACCAAATTACTGGGACAGGGTGGTGCAAAGAGGAGATATGCATGCAGCATGCAGTGCTACTCTACCAAGAGTAGAGACAAACCAAATCATAATGAATCGAAAGGTCAGCCCATACCTTGAATATCTTAGTCTTCAAGCCTGCAGATACAAACCACATACTTTGAACTATTGGTCTGTTTTTCCCAGCATCTCCATGGAAAGCTCACATTTCTGCTCTTTAATGAAGCTGATCAGAACAGCCAAGAGACAGCCTGACACTATCCTACTTCCTTGTCCTCAAAATCCAAAAGGAAATCCTTCTTTGCCCCATCCCCAGCAATGCTCACATGCTGCAGTAGAAGCCCCCGGATGATTGAACGGGAGCACAAGATGAAGGACAGCACACAGATGAGAAGCACGATCACATCAAAGACCATCCGAAACCGGTTGTCCCCTGCAAGAAAGGAGGTGAGCTACTATGCATTTCTGAGCTACGGAAGTACGGGAGTGCAGAAACAACAGCATTCCTTCCCTGCAGAAGTCACAACCCCAATAGTCTTGATCAGAGTACAGAGAGGAGGACAGGAAAAAACAAACAGGTATCAGAAGTGATTCCATGATAGCACAAGTCATGTGAAATGTGAAGAGACAGATTTATAGGAAAAACAGAAGCCACCTGAAAAACAGGAGAATGGAGCAAAGCTGAGCTCATATAGTATGAAAAAAATAAATTAGCATGGCAAACAAAACAATGTGAATGTCAAGATTTAAACTGCTAGAATATCTTGGCCCCAAGCACCCTGAACAAAGACATCTGCATCACTGAAAATGTATCATTTTGGGCTCCAGCCATTAAAAGGCTGGCTCAGTTTAAGAAACAACTAAGAATGTGTTGATGATGAAACAGCAAATCTCAAAATGGCATTATATACACACAGACTGCACAGGACAGTTTTACTCATCCCAACTTGAGAAGGTCCAGGGAAAGGATAAATAAGGGTTCCTCATAAAGAGAGCCTTAAGAGGGAGAGGTCTTCATTTTTTAAAAAGTTAACTTTAAAAAGATCAATCCACTAGCTTTAGGGTATTCTCTGACAGTTGGGATCAAGTAAGCCAGTGTGGTATAGTGGTCAAGACCACATGACCGGGGATCAGGCAATCTGGGTTCTAATCCCCATTTGGCCATGAGCTACTCTGGGCCAGTCACAGACTCCTAGCCCAACCTACCTCACAGGGTTGTGATTGTGGGGATAAGACTGCAAGTAGGAGGAGGAGAATGGTATAAGCCACTTTGAGTTTGTTGTAAGGGATCAGTCCTTGAAATACTTTAAAATTGTTATTTATACAGACATCTTTTAACCACTGAATTCATTTGTTGAGTGAAACCACTCAACAAATTAATGGATAGCCATAGAAAAAACACAGCTCAATGAGTTCATGAATGAGCGAAAATACCTGTCATTGCCAGCCATGCAGATGCTGGACAGGTCCTAGGTAGCAAACAATCAGTCCTCAAACATCTTTTCATAATGTCCTCCAGAGGTTAAGCCTTACTGATTTTGGTAGCACTTTCCATTGCTAGTTTACGAGGAAGCTATATGCCTTGTAAGCCAGTTAGGATAGAGATGCAACCCGCAGCTAGATGCCGCCGCACATCAAGCTGAGAATGCCACTGACAAAGAGAGCTTATGTTTGTGCTGTATTGCTCCCCTTGCACCCCATGGGTACCTTTGCCATAGACACTTGGGTCTTTGCACTCCTGGATGTCCACTTTATTGTCCAAATAGATCTTCACTCGGCCACTGTGTGCTTTGTTGTCAAATGTGATCTGGGGTGGAGAGAAGGTAAAGAAGGAGTGATAACATACCTCCTACCAGAAGTTGGGGAGATTGTCACACAGCAGAAACCTGAGGCAAACATATTCAGCTCTCCCAGTCCAGCATGTGAGAGAGGAGTCCTTAAATATAAGCAGCAAGGCAAAGGCATCTCCTCCTCAGACGTGGGTACTCACTGTGATGGAAAATGTGTAGCAGTCTGGAATTTCATTGTTGATGATTGTCTGGATGTTGATGGCTTTCAGCTTGAACTGGATGGTGACATTAATGAGCCTGCCAGAGACAAGATGTGCAGAATCAGCTCCATCTCAGTTTTTCACTGAATTTCACAAGAGCATGGCTACAAATAAAATGGAGTCTCTCTCACTGGAAAAGACTTAAGGGACCATAACTACTTAAGATCGGATGCAAGCAAACTAGCAGACAGACAGAGAATACCTGCACTCTAGACCTATGTCAGGAGCAACATTCATTATTAAGTTATAAATTTTATTCCTCCTTTGTTGGATCACACTATTGAACAATTAAATTCTTTATTCTCCAGAAAAGCAATGGTAACCATGGTGGCTGTACAAGAATTCATCTAATAGCCATCATAGCTCCTTTTATGTACAATCAGGAGAAAATGCAGTAATGGGAATGAATGATCTCAATTCAAAGGAACAGTGGGTACAAAATTAAATGGCTATAACATGTATACTGAAAAAATGAAAGGTTAGCCGGTGGAAACCTTCAGAACAGTAATGGTGACAAAAAGCCTTAAAGATTTAAAGACAAAGTTGAAGGGAAACCCACATGAAATTCCCTAGTGGCCTGGTTTACATGTAACATGAACTCATGGGTTATTGAAACCATATTTGTTGCCCTATCCGTGCTTCGTCTGCCAGATCATTGAACCAACTATGGTCCTAAGGTTGTTGGTTTCCTTCTTGCTTCGCCCACTCCCTCCCCATATTCTGGATAATTTTGCAGCATTGCACTACGGTTATGTAAAGAGGCTGGATTTTTGTTTTTTGGTTTTTTTTTTACCATCCTTGCCTGATGCCTCTGTAGCTTGGTGAAACAAACCCATGAACAACCCACTAGTCTGGGTTCGCACATAACCTTCACCCATGGCTTAAATAACCCTCCCTGCTTGGGTGGTTTGTCATTAACAACCCACAGATCCAAGTTCAAATGTAACAATGATCCATGATTCAACAAACCATAGATTAAACCATAGATTGCTGTTACAGGTAATTCAGGTCTTTGATTTCCTACAAGAAATCAAACCCACCAACCTTTCAAGGCTGTTGCAGATACCAAAAAATGGGGCTATTTACTTGTAAAACTTGAGAGTAAAGTTCTTGTAGCTGCGGTCTGGCTCTGGGAGGTCTGGAAATGTTTCTTCAAGGTCTAGTGGAGAGAATATCTTCTCTGGAGGATCTACGCCCAGGCACTCTACACAGAAAGGAGATATTGCCCCAGGAACAAGTTCCAAACCATGCCACATTCAGAGGTGTGTGTGTGTGTGTGTGTGTGTGTGTGTGTCAGAAGCAACTTTGCGGTACTGCCCAAAACAAGCTATATCAGTCAGTCACCCTTCCTTCTACATTGTAAACCAAAATACACAGAACACATTTCCAAACACCCAGCATCTCCCCCAAACCTGTACTGGAGGTCAGCATGAGTGAAGCTGCTCAGAAACCTGAGAGGCAGAAGTACAACTCAGGAAGAAATAGTGGACAGAGTAGCTCCCAGACTCCACAGAATATTATACTATGCTATGCTCATGAGAAAAATGCTTCTTTTTCTTTTATGTCCCATTGTGGGCCCCAAATAGCTGGATGGGTTGCAAGCACCATTTCTAACTCCACATATGCAAAATATCTGAGGCCACAGTGGAATCATTTACTCACCTGTGATGACCTTGGGGTCAATGTTGAAGGTGTCATTGGCTGGGTCAATCCTCCCTTTGTGGTAGTACTGCTGACAGAGCAGGAGCGCTGACTGATTATCACCCATTCTCCTCACATATGCGTAGCGCCCGATGGTCTCATTTGGAATGGCCAAGTACTGCAGGAGGAAGTTCCCACCACCAGGGTGATGCCAGTTGGTTCAGCAACCAGCTCACATGCCCCCCCTCCACACACACTCAGCCCAGCCGTGCCCCTTCTCACCTTGTCCACTGCATAGAACATATGGTCATAGACATCTGCCTGGGTATAAACTGCATAGGTTTCCTCTGATCCATCTGCGTAATCTTTCAGGAAGAGATGCTTGAATGTAATTGTGTTCTCCTCTTTGAAAGTCACCACCATTTGATTGCTGAGCCCAAAGAGGATGAGCTGTGGGTAAGGAAGGTAGAAAACTGAGCTAACTGAGATGTGTGTAAGAATCTCAGCCTTACTTGGGCTGTTCTACTAAAATGTCCACAAGTAGGATTTTTAAATTCAAGCAACCCAAAGTTTACAGCGTTCAACTACATAAGCAAATTTAATTAGCTAAAATCCAGGGAGCTGATTGCTTGAGCAATGTGTAAACAGAGGGCAGGCCTTTCTGTATGGAGAGATTGAGACTATAGTGCTCAGTATACAAACAAACAATGTATACAGTATTTGTAGGAAGCTGTGACAAATAATTTTTTAAAAGGTTTCTGGACAGACACAGCACAAAACTTATCAAGGACACTGTCCCTGATTCACCTTTTCATACACACCTGGATGGTCACAATTAGGATCTTGATCAACTGCAAAACCAACTTGAATGGCTTCCGGCCTTTGGCACGAAATTTGTCACAGGGACTCATGAAGTAGTACTTGAGACGCCTGCGGAGTTCTTCCTCTTCTGGTCGAAAGGAAGCAGAGCCTAAGCTTGTTCTTGCATCTCCATCCTGAGACCCATAGCTATTCACTGGGGTCAGCAGCTTCTGTCTCTCTGCAAGGAGGGGAAAAGCACAAGTTTCTATGATCCCAGCTTCCTACTGCAAGGAAGAAGGCTAAAAAACTTTCTGTTCAGAAAGAAGCAATCCAAAGATTCCTGTGATTTAATCAGGTAAGATCATCTCTGCTATTCAACTAACCCCATCCTCACCCAGGCGAATTGTGTTGTTGCTGTCAAAGAAACACACAAATCAACAGCTAAAAAATGTATAACTTTTCACCATTCACCCTAACTTCTCCCCTCCTTACCCATCTTGCAGTTCCAAGATCAGCTGCTGTCAGTTTCTGTCACAAGACTAGCTTTGAAAATTGCTAGTGCTGCTTCTTCCCTTCCAAAGCTCATAGTTTGTTAGCAAGTATCTAAAAGTAGACACAAATACATCACTTTTGGGAGAGAGCATGCTGAGATATAATTACATGTAATTGTCAACCACATCATCTCTAGCAACTGTGAGCAGGTGAAACAGGTTTTGCCACAAAATAACTTCTTTTGTTGCTGATATCACGCAAGACAAGCACAACCCACTTGCTGCTAACTTTTTGATGAAAGAATACACAAAGCACTGCTACAGATCAGCAAAGAGAGGAAATGTTCTCTGTGTGACTGCTCTGTGTTTTCAGTTGCTAGCCCAAAGAAGAAATTACATGCAGGATCTAAAGTGTAGATAAAAACTTCAGCACACCGAACAAAGAAACTACAGTTTCCTCTGTTACCACAGACAAAAGGCCCACTGCATGGCCTTCCTTTAAACCAGGCATGTCCAAAGTCCGGCCAGGGGGCCAATTGCGGCCCGTTTTCAAATTTCGAGTGGCCTGCAGCCTCTTCTCCCCGCCGGCTCAGCCTGTCACTCATCCCCGCCGGCAGGCGTTTTTCCCTTCACCGCACAGCGGTTCCCGCAGCTGTCCCCTGCTGCTTCAAGGCTGGTGGGTATATTTCACCAGAAGATGGCAGTAGACCTGAGTCAGCACTCTCGCCGCGTGACCCTTGTGACACAAGGCTTGTGTGCCCATTTCTAAAATGGTGACTGTAACTAAAAAAAGGAAAGTTGACAGCGAGGGCCACCGCTTCCAGGACAAGTGGAAATTGGAGTATTTTTTCACTGAAATACGAAACAACTGTGTCTGCCTAATTTGCCAGGAGACTGTGGCTGTTTTCAAGGAATTCAATATCAAGAGGCACTACCAGACGAAACATGCTAACTACAACAAGCTAACTGGGAACGAGCGTGGTGAAAAATTGAAGGAACTGGAAGCTGCTTTAACGGCACAGCAGCGCTTTTTCACAAGAGCCCGTGAGTCAAATGAAAATGCCACAAAGGCGAGCTATGAGGTGGCAATGCTGATTGCCAAGCACTGCAGACCTTTTACTGAGGGTGAATTTATTAAAGACTGCGTGATGATAATGGTGGAGAAAATTTGTCCTGAGAAGAAGCAAGAGTTTGCCAATGTTTGCCTGGCTTGTAATACTGTGGTATGGAGAATTGAAGACATTTCATCTGATATTAAGAGACAGTTAGAGGCAAAAGGAGTGGAGTTTGACCTTTTTTCGTTAGCCTGCGACGAAAGCACAGATGCATCTGACACCGCTCAGTTATTGATTTTTTTGAGAGGAGTGGACAATGACATGAACGTGAGTGAAGAGCTACTTGACCTCCAAAGGGCTTTGGAGGTCAAGAGGAACAGATTTATTTGTTTCTGTTTGTTCCACCGTAGATGACATGAAACTACCGTGGAATAAAGTCACTGGGATTATTACGGATGGCGCACCTGCCATGGCTGGCAAGCGAAGTGGATTATCAACCCTAGTCTGTAACAAAGTCAGCGAAGAAGGAGGCAAAGCTATAAAACTCCACTGTATTATTCATCAACAAGTTCTCTGTGCCAAACATCTGAAATATTATGAAACCGGTGATGAAGGCTATTAATTATATTCGCTCCAAAGCCCTGTGCCACCACCAGTTTCAACAGTTTCTAATCGACATCCAGGCTGAATACGGAGATGTTGTGTATCACAATGAGGTAAGATGGCTCAGTCTGGGGTCTGCACTGCAGCGCTTCTACTCTGTTAGGGAGGAAATTGGACAATTCTGGGCAAAAAAGGGACAACCGATGCCAGAGCTATCTGTTTGGCTGGCTGATTTTGGATTTTTAGTTGACATAACACGAAATCTGAACATGCTGAACAGGAGCCTTCAGGGGCAAAATGCAGTGGTAAGCCAACTGTATTCACATATGAAAGCCTTTGGGACCAAGCTGCTACTTTTCCAAAGGCACCTGTCACAAATGCAGCCCAATACCACACATTTCCCATCGCTGCAGGAAATAATGACCAGTTTTCCACAGAACAATATGAGTGCGCAAATAAGGAGGTATGAAGCAGACATCTCATCTCTGGCTGAGGAGTTTCAACAGCGCTTTCGGGATTTTGCAGCTATTGAAAAGGAGACCACGCTTTTTTCATCTCTTTTCTCTGTGGACCCTGATGACTCTCCAGACCACCTGCAGCTGGAGTTCATTGAGCTGCACTGTGATGCTGAGTGTCACAGTCGGCACCAACAGTTCCCTCTTGTCAACTTTAGTTTTATCAATTTATGCTGATTGCTTTTGCCTTCATTGTGAGCCTCCCAGAGAGCCTTTGGGCTATGGGGTAGCATACAAATAAATAAAATAAAAGACTAGGGCTAGCAAGGTAACACACATCCTGATGCTGCTTCAGCCTCCTCCCTTCCTCCTGAGAAGGGCTGCAGCTAGAAGCTGAATTGCAGTACTGCAGGAGCAAGGAGGCAGAGGTTCCCTTCATAGTTCCTCCTGCTCTGCACTGGATGGGCACAATCCCCCTGATTTTTATCAGAGTTATATGCTGGCAGCTATGACAGTACTTTACAGTACCAGATGCCCCATGTTTTGAAATGTCTTGCTTCTGCACAAGACATGTATCATGCTATCACTTGGAATCATTAATGGAATTTTATTGGAGGTCCAGATGGTATAGTTTTCCATTCATAACACTCACTGCTTTTTCATTCCTTCTTCCATCTTGTTCCCATTAAGGGAAAAAAGATGAAATAGCTGACAATGCCTTCTACTGGCTAGTGCCAACATCAGGAAAACTCCAGAGATGTGGTATGTGCTTTAACAGGCCTTCATTGTAAGCTCTCTGAAAGGCACAAAGCATGTTTGAAAAATAAATAAATAAATAAATAAATAAGGGCATTCTAGCCTCCCGGCATTTCTCTATGTCAGAGCAAGAGAGCATCATATGACCAGGAAGAAGCTGTCCCTGTTGACAAATACATGTCTAACAGGGCAGAGAAAAGATTTCTAGAGTGTTCTTGAGTTCCCAGGTGTCAACCTAGAACATCACCATCTGCTCAATTAACAAACTGGATCTAAGCAAACAAGATGGGCTTTGGGATATCTATGCCTCTCACATCCTTTGCTTTTTATCTACATGAATTCCTTTCTATGTGGATTTTCTTTTGAAGAATAGCTGTGCCTTGCAAACGATTCTAGGATGAAGAATATGACACACTCTCCCCTGAATCTAAAAAGTGTGTCCTAGAAGGAGCCCAGCACTTTGCAGCAGCAACATGGGCAAGGTAGGGGAATGTGAGGCTCTCCCATGATCCCTGACTGGCTAGGTCATACTGGCTAGGACTGAGGCCACTATCCAAATGCTCTGATTCTCGGAAAAACACGTGTCTCCTAAGATTGACATGGCATGACTGGATGGATGAACAATCACACACATACTGGTTCAAACTCGCCAACGTCAAACTGCATTTACTGCAAATAAAGAGAGGGGAGGGAGCCCTAGTTCTGAAGCCGCCTTCCTCCTCTCCCTTTTCCAACCTGATCTCAGACGGAATGGACAATCCCCATCATCCCCAGCAGGCAAAGCCAAGAACTGAGTCATGACGAAAGTCGCAGTCCAACCCGTTTGCGGGTCCCGTGTTGGGAAACGCACAGTCCTACAAAGGTACACAGACCTCAGAAAGCAGCTGGTATATTCGCCAGGCACACCCCCCTTTCGGCGAAGGGGGCCTCTCTCACCTGGGGGCACCTACAGGGAGCAGGCGACGCCAACATGGGGCTCTCCGCGACCGGCTCCGAAGCATAAACAGAGCTTGCAAACATCCGGTCTTGGGTCAGGCACGGCTGGACGGCCGCTGGCTCCGTCACGTGCAGAGGGAGGCGGTCTGAGGATTCCTCGTCCGCAGGCGGGACTTCCTGGTCTTTCTCCGGCGGCGGCGGCGGCGGCGGCTCCTTTTTTCAGCGGCGTGAGAAGTGATCGGGGCTGCCGAACGGAGACATCCAGAGGGGCCGGTGTGGCTACGATTAGGCGGCGACGGGCCGGCCCGCTCCCGAGCTGGTCCCAGCGCCCCGACTGCCTTTTCCTCCCCTGCGAGGCTGCGGCGGCGGGAAGTCAGGTGGGAAGTAGAGCAAACGAGCCATCCGTAACTGACTGCTCCTCACGGATGCAGTTTTTCGGGCTTGCTGATTAGTTGTCACGGGACTAGTCCCCAGCCAATGCCTGCCCGAGCGGCTATTTAAATTGCTGCAAAGTGCGGGCTCAGCACTTATTTATATGCTGCTTTTTTGCCTCAAGGAATCTAAAGCGGCTTACACGATCTTTTGAGTTTTATTCTCATAACAAGCCTGAGAGCGAGGTTAGGCGGAGAGCCAGGGACTGGTCAGTAGTCAGGCAGTGAACTTCATGGCAGCTAGGGGTGATGGAAAGATCCAGGGGGCGGGGGGATTAGGAGATTATAGACTGCTACTACGAAAGCAACAGAGAGAATGAAAAGGCAAACGCTTGTAAAACAGGACTGCTGAGGAGCCCGCCTTGTCCCCTGCTCGCAGCCCCACAAGCTGCCATCCACTGCAGTACCCCACTGCACGACCAGCCAGCAGAGCCCGTAAATGCAGGGGCAGGAGAGGGGGAGAGAGAGGCCAGACAAACAAGGGGTATTGATTAATTCACCTAAGGTATGAAAGAGGTGTGGAGGTGCTAGGGTTGTTGGCCAAGAGGAAAGGGGGCAGCAGCCCAAAAAAGTTTACGGACCACTGCTCTAACTGCTACGCCATGCTGGATCTCTTGAGCCAACTGTGACAAGAAGAGCAGCCTCACCTCCCTTAGTTTTTGTTTAGGGCAGGGGTCAGCAACCCGCTGCTCTGGAGCCACATGTGGCTCTTTCATCCCTCTGCTGCGGCTCCCTGTCGCTCAAAATATGCATCACAACCTCCAGTGTGCAACAGCACCCGCTGGCACACAATTTATTGAGCTTTTCAACCCCCAGTAGGCCAACCATGGATAAATCCAAGAAAAGAAAAGTTTCAGAAGAAAACAATGTTTAATGGTACGTGGACAGATTCATTTGCTTTCACTTCTGATGAGACTGCTTTACCAATATGCTTAATATGTGGTGAGAAATTGGCAAACGACAAAAAGTTGAATGTTGCAAGACATTTCCAGAATAAACGCACAGACTTTGCTGAAAAATTTCTGGATAGAGATGAGAGAAAAAAAGCCATTTCAGAACTGATGCGGAAGATTGATCTGAGCAAAAATCGAAATGAAGTGGATTAAGTCTGCAAATTCAACTACATATGCTAGTTTTGTGGCTGCTCAGGAAATAGTCAGGCATGGGAAGCCGTTCACAGATGGAGATTATATAAAAGAATCATTCATTGATTTCATAAATGCAACAAACTAGTTTTTTTATACGTAGCATAAAGGTAAAAAAATGATATATGCAGTGTTATCTTCATTTTAGATGTCAAAAGGGTTTTGTGGCTCCCGGTGTTTTCTGTGGGAAATGGGTTCAAATGGCTTTTTAAGTGTTTAAGGTTGCCAGCCCCTGGTTTAGGGAGAGCATGCGTCTACAGAGACCTGGTTCACAAGTTAATGCTGGCCTCCTGCATAAGTGCAGCTGGATCCCAAGTGAAGGGTGGGAGATTAAGCAAAAGGTAGTTGCTCACTCTTTCACCTCACCTGGACCCCGCAGCAGGAAGAGCAGTAAAGCACTGTCATGCAGACTCAGGGCTGAGTGACATGTTCTTCACACCACAAATAGCAGATTTCTCCTACTTTTTAAACTCCTCACCCAGTGATTGTGCGATAGCTATTCCTGCCTCACCTGACTCTTGTTCTAGAGATCTCACCCCAATCCTGACAGCAGAAAGCAAGAGAGAGAGAGAGAGGTTTTGTTCTCTTCAGATGCGTACCACCAGTGACTCCAAAGTAGCCTTTTAGGGTTGAATCTTGTCCTTAGAGACCAGCAAGCAAGCTGATGGGACTTTCCTGTGAACACACGTATAGGCATGTGCATGGCTGGGGCATCCAACCCCAGAGAGTGAGTATGAGGTAGCAGAGCTTGGGATAAGACCCATCTGCTTCCTATGATATCTCAGATGGGAGGCTTCAGAATGGAGGCCCAACTAAATAATTGTTAGACCCTGCATTTACAGCAGGGGTCCTCAAACTTTTTAAACAGGGGGCCAGTTCACTGTCCCTCAGACTGTTGTGGGGGGGCAGACTATAGCTTGAAAAAAAATATGAATGAATGCCTATGCACACTGCACATTAAAAATTAATTAAAATTAAAATAAGTTTAAAAATAATTAAAATTAAAAAATAATTAAAAAATGTTTGCTCCGCTTCCTCGGGCTGCAGTAGGAGCCCAAGATGAGGTGGGGAAGAGCATGTCCATATTCAAGGGACATAGCTACAATACAACCAAGGCACTTAATATAGTATTTTGCATAATTCAGCTGATGACTGCAACTGGCATTTACAAAGAAAGAAGCAAAAATGCTAAGGATAATACTGCTAATGCCACTCTTAGTATTTGAAGTAAATCAGCCCAGAACAATTCCTACAATGCACAATGGCTGTATTTGAATGCAGAGCTAATGACTACCATAATTTTTTTAGTGCAACCTTGCCAAAACTGGTACTGTCCAGATGAGTTGGACTACAACTTCCATTGGCCATGTTGGTTGGGCATGATGGAAATTATAGTTCTCGTCGCCACCCCACTTCCGAGGGAGTGGGAGCGGGAGGCCAGAGAGGTGAGCGCGGGGCAGCTCCCCTGGCCGGGAGAGGGCCGTGAGGAGGGAGGTAAGGGCTGCTTTCTGCGGGCTGAGGCAAGGGGAGGCGACGGACGGGGCCGCAGCTGGCCGGGGGGGAAGCATGGCAGCCACTCAACGGCGGTGGCTTGCTCAGAGAAGGCTGCGGCAGAGGCGTGGGAGCCGCGGCTCTACTCCACCTCAGCCTGTCCACCCCTGGACTTGGCGAGGCAGCTGTGGCTTAGCCCGAAGTCCAGGGACATGGTTCACGTAATTAAAAATAGATTTAAAAAGTTATATTTTTCTTACCTTCAATCCTTTTTTAGTGTTTTATCTCTCTCTCTCTCTCTCTCTCCCGCCCTCCTTTCTTCTGTATTCCTGTTCTGTATGCAGAGCCAATGCATGCATGCAATAGGGGGAGATGAGCTGGCACACGTGCAGTTGAAGGGGGCTGTTACAATTTGGTGTGTGCGCCGGCTCAGAGCTTTTGGACTCGCTCAAAGATCATTTTCTCTGAATGAGTCCAAAAGCTCTGAAGCGGGCTGGGTAGATGACCGTGGCGGGCCATAGTTTGAGGACTCATGATTTACAGGTTCTACTGGGTGCTTGTGTGTACTACTACAGGTCATGACTAAAATCTTCCCCCACATTTTTCTCCATGTTTTATGACTGCTTCTTTATTCCTGATGTTATAGCAATAAAATAGCCTGTGTGCCAATCCTAATTAAAAAAGATATGCTTTAAGCCCATCTAGTTTCACATTTTAAACTCACTTAAATTATAACATCATTATAGTTCTAGGAATGAAATGGAGTTGCTTCTGTTGCCATTATACTAAACACAATGACTTGTGAACAAGCACTGGTTTGCTGTAGGATGTGTTTGACATTATATAGCTAACACAACTAGTTGCTGTCAGTGGCCTTATCCTCCCTAGTGGTCCCCACACAATACTGTTGGGATCTGTGTATGATACAGGAAAGCGCAATTGGTTTCCCATTGAGGCAGGTGACTGGCCACTGTAGGAAGAGAATACCGTACTTGATGGACCTTGGTCTGATCCAGCAGGGCTCTTATATTCTTAATTAAAAGACAAGTGATATTTTCTTCTCCCCAGAAAAGGAGATACATTTAGATTTCGTTCTCATATAAGGCTAGGATGACTTTGGGCCAGTCACTGTCTCTCAGCCTACCCTACCCAACAAGGCTTGCTTGTTATTTATGCCTATTGCAAGAAAGCCAATGGAAAAAAAGAGAATAAACTTGAAGCTCCATTATAACACCACTGCTACACCTGAAGATTAGGACAACTAAAACATTTTAATCATTTCTTGCTTTCCTTAAGATTGAAATGCATCTCTTGATTTATATGAAACATAATTATTCAAACTGGGGGAAATACTGGTAAATTATTGTCTGCTAAATTCCAGCAAATATTTAGATGCATCAGTTATTAAAGAACTGTTAGAGTAGGATTTTTACTCCAAAAATAATTTGTGATAAGTTAAATAAGTTCTAGTCAACTTTTTGTACTACAGATAGTAAGGACGCAGTATCAGTCTTTGGGGTCAAAAGGGAACTCCCTTCTTCAGATACTCAGCAAAACAGTTTTTTAGCAGCTCTGTGTCTCCAGCTTATAGAGAGAAAGAATGCAGGTCTGGCAAGCAGTCTGGTGCAGAGGAAAGAAGTGGTAAGGGGCTGGAAAGCCTGGGGTTAATCAGTCCTGTATGAGAACTCCTGTGACCATGTGCATTACACGCAGGTCTTACAAGATCACCACGCAAAAGCCACACAGCAGGCAACTTGTTCAGTAAGAGTGAAGTACAGTAGAACCCTTTAGACTTCCCAGGACTAAACTGCTCTTCTCAGACTCCCACTCCTTGCTGAGGCACACAGATCCTAGTCCTCTGGCCTGGAGGCTACTTCTTTGCCTTTCTGCAATCTCCTGGGCTCTTTGCTTGCATTGGTAAGCAGGTTCAGTGGAGCACAAGACCCTTGGGAAGAAGAATGCTTTTAAGCAGAGTGAGGCAACTAATGATGCTCAGGGAGAAGGCACTGCAGGAAGATGTTGGGAGGGCAAAATGGTGAATGCCATGCAACCTGCCCTGAACCGCTAATTTGCTGCTGTAGGATGTGACAGTAGATATTGTTCCGCTGCCAGTACAGAAGTAAACTTCTGCTGTCAGCCTGGTACGTTTTGGTTGGTCGGCTTTTTACACAGAGTAATGTTAGGCATCAAGTTGCCTTCAGCCAGCCCTGGGACTCAGACTTGAGGGTTGACTCAAGGGTTGTGAGGGTTGTGATTTGGGGAGGATCCTTAACTGACATCAGATTGTCTCCACAATCTGTCACATTCTTATTTCCTTTTGTGTGTCTGAGCAACAGCTCCAAGTGGAGATCATGATACTTGGTTGATTTTGTCTCTTTTGCAAGCTGATTTCTACCTTCTGACTAGGGCTGGTAATTGAAGAAACACTGTCTCACTTCTGTACTGGGGCCAGCAGCTTGTGAATTGGGCCCTAACTCTACATTTGTCTGCTCAGTGGTTCCTCTACGTATATCCAAAGGCTATAGGTTCACACCGTAACTACTAGGGACCCCCTTTGAGATCTGCGGGAGAGTCCCTTCTCCGGGAACCCTCCATGAAAGAAATTAGGAGAGTAAGTACTCGGAGGAGGGCTTTCTCTGCGGTGGCGCCCAACCTATGGAATTCACTCCCCAAAGAGGTCCGCCTGGCACCGTTGTTACTGGTTTTTCGGCGCCAGGTAAAGACCTTTTTATTTAAACATCATTTTAATTGTTAAAACATATGATCTGGCCAGGGCAACTTCTTCTTCCCTTTTCTCCTCCTATATTTTTATTTACTTATTTTATACTGATAATTTTAATTTTATATTTGTAACTCAGTGTATTTTTTGTATTTTTGTATTTAATGGTAATTTATTATGTTCTATTGTATTTCAATGTATTTTATTGTGTTGTAAGCCGCCCCGAGGTTTCGGCAAGGGGCGGCATAGAAATGTAATAATAATAATAATAATAATAATAATAATAATAATAATAATAATAATAATGGAAAAAATGACATATTTGCATACTGGTAATGTTTCAGCAAAGTTTTCTCAAATGACACAAATATGGGTAGAACAGAACACAATTTATCAAAGGCAGGCCCCAGAAAATACTGTAGGTGCCAGGCATAGCATTCCTGGATGAAAGCAAGCAGGGATGCTGGGAGCTCAAGCAACCACAGAGGAGAATTTGTCCTTTTCCAAAATGGAATCCTGCTTTCAAGGCATCATATGGTCACACTGCAGCAAGGGAGTCAGCTTGGTGGGGGGTTGAGGGAAGAGGCCAACCAAAAGGTTTTTGGAATTTCTGCTTTAGAACCCATTTTCTCACAACCCAAAAAGCAGGTGTATATGCTCAGATGGTAACTCTTTGACTACTGTTGTGCGGTAGGTGCTGTTTAGTGAAGATGGATCAATCTCAATGTCAAACTGGCATTTTACCAGTCAACCCAACTACAGCTTTAATGTAGTATGTACTTGTTAGAATGCCTCTTCACATCTCTCATGATGGCAATGTAGAAACCAGGACTAAGCAGGGCAGCACAGTGACAAAGCAGATGCACACACAACACAGCCCTGCCCTCCATCCTACTTGAGCATCTAATTTCCACGAGTCCTTTGTCTCTTGCAATACAGACAAAGGTGCTAAGACCAGACTCCCCATCTTGCATGCGAGTTGTTTTCCAACCAAGATCAAGCAAGCAGTGGCTCCACCCACAGCCACAGCCCATTCTCTGCTTTCAGGATTAGCTCTGGCTTGCATCACAGACTGACTCTCATCCAGCTGCAGCACAAACCGCAGTAATGTCAGTGCCAGCACCACCTTCAGCTCCGACTTAGCAAAGTTCTGCCCAATGCAGTTCCTGCAAGGGTGAGAGTGTCAGTTCTACTGAAGTCAGACAGATAAGCAATGGCCCTTCCTCATACCCCCAAAAGAAGGGGAAACAGACCAGGTTGATAGTCCATTGGGAAGAGGGAGCCTGAAAGGGAGTGTGGCAGGTGGTTATGTTATTCTCAAGGGGAAAGGCAGGGCTGGAAAAAGTCTTGGAAAAAGGAGCCAGACTCTCCCATTGCATGGGATGCCAACATCTAATTCTATTCAACCTTGTGTGAGCTGAAAGAACTTACCAAATGCCTCTCTGAGGTCACTATTTGGCTGACAGCTCATTAGAAAGGCATACTGAGAAAGATTTTCTCTCTCCATAATGTTCAATAATGTTGCCCCTGAGTGTTGACTTGCATTTGGCAGAATCTCTGATTAGATTCAAGGAGGCTTTTTGGATTGTGGACTGGACTGGCCACTCTGCTGCAACAATACAAATGTTTTGTGCAGCAATTACTTGGTTCATACTGGGAGTCCATGGGCATGTTCGACAGTGAAGGTGAGAAAATGTAATGCCTCTTGTGCAATTGACTCTTCGGCATTACATCTACCTTTGTACATCTGCTTGTTCTCTTGCCACATGAACATGGCACTCTGAGTTGCTTAAGGTTAAACAACCCGGAGTTATAATCCATCATGGTCTGTGGTCGGGCTGAAACTCTTCAGTGTTTAAACTTAAACAATCCAGAGTTCTGGGTTTACATGTCACAAACAACTCAGAAGTAGTTTGGTTTGGTTTTTACAACAGATGTAAAGCAAAGCAATGGCCACATCAGAGACAGCATGCTTATGGCTATAATCATGGGTTGTTTACTCCATAGTTAATTATGACATAAGTGCTGGGTTATTAGCCTTCATAAAGTCCCTGTTAGGAGTACATATTGCATATTCCCCCCTCTTAGCATAGCATTGACATGTGAATGTTTTCCTTCTTTGTAATATTGGTGAAAATGCTGTGGAGAGTAGAAGTGGAGTCCACAGGGAGTGTTTCTTGGTGGGATGGGGAGGAACACATATGCTTGATTAGGTGCTGGGCTTCTTGACACTTTGCTAATTGAGATAAATGGACTGGTGACAGCTATTGTAAGACTTCTTAAACTGGCCTGATATTTTTGAACTACACCCTTCCCCACATCCGTCCAGGGGTCTAGGTGAATATTAAAAAGAAGCACATACACAAAGATGGCCAAGAAGACATGACTCCAAAGGCTTAGGAAGCAGAGAGTGCATGTTTACCTGTTGAGAAGGGCACAAAGGCCAGTGGGGGCTGTTGCTGAATGGTAGCTGGATCAAAGCGGTCGGGATTATAAGCCTATGAAAGCTAGAGCAAATCCCAAAATCAGTCTGTATGCGGATAGGAAGAAGCAGTGAGCAATGTTGATTCAGCAGAAATGCAGGGATGAGCCCATCTATTGCTTAGCACTTGAGCTCTCTCATGGCTCCTAATTCGCTGCTAATGAGGAAGAAAAGCTATGCAGGTGAGTCATACAGTGTGCGTGTATGAAAGAAAAGGACTGACACCAGATCTTTCATTTGACATATGTAATAGGCCACCCAGCATTACACAGAAAAAATAATTTTGCATGTGAAGAGGGACACTGAGCAACCAGTGGGTGCAGGGAAGAACTATTACTAATTCATGGCATTGGAAAAGGGCATCCTAACAGCTTCTGGCCCAACATAAGGGAGCTGTGGCTCAAATTAGGCCATGAAGCTGTTTTATCTGTGGATCTAGCTGTGCATGCAGATTGTGAACAGAATCTTGCTGGAGGATTGCTTTCTTTGTAGGATGGGGACAGTAGCAGGGAGAAGCCACTACACTGAACAAAGCTACACCGTTTGTGATGCGAGGAAGTAAAAAATATCCACCCTATAAATATCGCATATTGTGGGTGCATGTCAACACCCCACATGCTGCTATTCCAGGCAGACAACAAAGGGGAAGGGTGTGGGGAGTTCTGAGGCACTGGTGGGCTGTGGTTGACTTGGAAGTCACAAACTGTGCCTCATAGAAAGTCCTGCACCATAGGAAAACACATCAGCCCTCCCCTCTATGCCTTTACTGGACTTGGCACACATTTGGCTTAGAAGAGAGTCACTACTGAATCTTCATCTCTGTCCCTGAAGGAGTGCCTCTAGCTCATGAATGCTTCTACCTCTTGAATTCTACTGGCAGAGGCTCAGTCCTAGAGAAAAACATTTATGCAGCTGGGGGCCAAATTGTCTGGGTGGAGACTCCTCTGCTACTGAACTCCAACTTAGAGGACATCATCTGATGGCTAGTTAATTTAAGAATCCTTTCTCCTGTCTGCAGCAGGGATGACCAATTTTTTGGGCTTCAGGGCCAAAACCCATCATGGGTTACACAAGTGGGCAGTACTGGTGGTAAGCAGGGTCATTATTTGTTTTTCGGCGCCAGGCGAAGACCTTTTTATTTAAGCGTCATTTTAATTGTTAACAGTATTTGCTTATTTTATCTGGCCAGGGTGACTTATTTTATATTGTTATTTATTTTATATTGTTATTTTTATATTGTTATTTTTGTATTTTACTTTATGTTGTGAGCCGCCCCGAGGCTTCGGCAAATGGGGCGGCATAGAAATGTTTTAATAAATAATAAATAGCAGTGGATGGGGCCCAAAACCAAGACAAACTTTTGAAGCCTCTGATTTCTTACAAGAATTGTGATATGAGAGAGAAAGGAAGCAGGAGAGAGAGAGAGAAGTTTTAGTGAGTTATTGTTTTAAAGATTCAGTCCTTGTACTTTTGTCTTGTTGCTGCTTATGGTACATACAGACAGTCCCCAAGTTACAAACAAGTTTTGTTTCTGAGGCCAGTTGAATATATATGTCAGATCATGTATGTATGGGTCATGTGTAGCATGAGTAAGCCACATGTTTGTCTTATTATATGCATATAAACCACTTAAGCAACACTTCCATATACACTAAAACATCTTAAACACTATACAGTACTGTAAGAGAAGATATGGAAGGCAATACTAACTGCACATGACCCGAAACACACTGATTTGAGTATGCTTGAGCCAACAAAAAACCGACAGTGTAAAACATTTTCATGAGCAATTAGTTCCATGTTAATTACTATGAACCGTTTGTTTTTAACTTGAATTTTTAAATTAATAGGTTTGATGGAAATTCATTTGTAAATACAAATGTTCACATTTGTAACCCAGAGACTTACTGTATTTTGTTGTGTTTTTATAAATGCTCAAACTGAAGTGTTTCATATAGGCAGGTATCTTCTTGGCTACTTTAAGCTCCACAGTGAACAAAGGGCAGAAAAAATGGAAATAAACTGAACAGCATCATGTGGTGGGTTAGGCCAAAGGAACCTGCAAGAACTTTTCTGTAGCTGGACTGTGCTTCAAGTGCTCACAAGAGAGAAGGCACCATACTGGAAATATTAGATGAGCAGGGACAATACTTCAGGCTCTGGCCAGACAGCAGGATTGTGATGGGTCCCATAGATACTGAGTAGGCAGGTGTTTCCTGTGGAGGGAAGAGTCTCCGATGAATGTGTGGAGGCATGGACACACGAGAGGCCAAGTCCCATATAAGGTGGGGCAGGGCAAGAAATACAATTCAGAGAAGTAGGAGAATGTGGAGGTTCCTTAGTCACAGAAATGACAGCTGTGGCAAAGAGCTAATACTTCAGCTTCTCTTCGCACTTTCTCTCAAGATGCTAGGAACTACAGATTCCTTGCTGGGAGCCCTGTGAACTGTATTTCTTTAGGGTCATTGCTAATGGGCCATATCAGAAGCAATGCTGCTATAAGCCTTCTATAAGCCAACCAAAGAAGTGGAGCAGTGGGGCAAGAAAACACTGAAGTAAGGGCACCACTCCTTACATTTTTCAGTATGTTGTAAGAGAGACGGTGAAAAGTTGTCCCAATCATGTGTCTCCTTATTGTCTTATTCCTTTTTGGCTCACCGTCTTGGCAGTTAAAGAATTACAGAGTTCTTTTCCCTGTTTCCTGACATGAGCTTGGGTGATTTAAATGTCATTTTAATTGTTAATATTATTTGCTTATTTTATCTGGCCAGGGTGACTTATTTTATATTGTTTATATATTATATATTTTGTATTGTTTATATTATATTGTTGATTTGTTGTATGTATTATATTTTAATTTTATGTTGTGAGCCGCCCCGAGGCTTCAGCGAATGGGGCGGCATAGAAATGTTTTAATAAATAAATGTCTGACTGCTGCTAAGTATTACTGCTTGAAAGCATAAATTAATCTGAAGTGAAAGCACATGTCTTGGCATTTGACAAAGCAACAAAAGCACCTTCACTTCACTTTAAGTAAGTAAATTAAAGCTTAAGGAGGGAGGGATGATAGGAGGGACCAAGCAAGCAAAATAAGCAACCCACCCATAATGCCTGCAGACATTTCGAAATGCTAGCTTTAATGGAATATCACCAGTTTGCAAGGTGTCACTCTAATGATGCAAAACAGGACAGTAGAGCAGCCCCTTCAGTCCTAGACTGCTGCTGCAGGTGGAGAATGGGGCAGCAGGAGCCATGAAGGCAGTCTTCCTGTCAGGTGCACCTGCAGGCAGTAATGCCAGCCAGCCCAGGATGGGCTCAAGTCCCTCCCAGGCCAGATACCTTTGGGAATAACTCATCCATCAGGCAGTTTCACATCCTCAGTGCAGCTTCGAGAAATGACTGTGTCTGGTGAGTGGAGACACAAGCTTTCCACAATGCACACAGTGATAAAAGGCATCTGAGAGAGGTCTTCCCTGAGAAAAGGAAGGAGCCCAAGCATCAGCCTTTGTCATGAGCAAAGTAGCCTCCATCTGTATGGTGTTGGCTAGGAAGCCCTCTGTTTCTTTCCATTCCTGGCTACAAGAAGAGGATGCAGCATTCTGGGGAAGCTGGAGGACAGGGAAAGGCAGCCTGGGGGCTGTGCTGGCGCTCCACTGTGCCTGCTTAAAGAGACACCTCTTGTCACCCCCCGCCAACCCTCCCATGTCAAACAGGAAAGGAGGGCAGCTGTGTGCAGCAGGAAGAGCCTTTGAGAATTTTGCCCACTGTAGTGCAACTGATGCCACCTGCATGGCTCCCCCATAGATTAGAATAGGGTGGGGTGGGTCTGAGATATGTAACTGAGCTTTCTGCTCTGCCTGCTGACTGTCAAGACCTTGGCTTCTTAGCGATGGCTCCAAAACTGGCGTGGGCCTGCCCGGGGCACTTGACATTTGAGGCCAGTACAGGATCCTGGGGCAAACAGAGCCTTGCTCTTCTCAACAGCCAAGGCAGGAATGGGCAGCCTGCTCCTGGGCTAAGCAGTGTGGGAGAGATTTTCCTCCACTCACCACACCATTATAATGGACAAGAGTTCTGCTTAGTTCTACTGAGTCTTAGGCAGGTCAGAAACACTCTGTTATATTCTTTCTGTAATGCCAGCCATGGATTAATGCCTTCCAACAGCCAGCAGAACCCACTTCATTGTAACTTGGATCTCTCTCTGGTTTAGCTTAATCTGTCAGTCATGCAAATAGTGTGTGTCTGTGCATGCATGTGTGGGTGTGTGGGGGGCATGTGTTAAAAAAAATCATTTCCATGTAGCATTTGGATGCAGTTCCATCTTCCATCCCCAGTCCATCACCATTTAATCTTCTCCGTGTCCCGCCCTGCATCAGATCCTGAATCTCCTCCCAGCATCTGTCTTGGTACTTGGGATGTCGGGCCAGATTATACAGCACCCAGGACAAGGCACTTGCTGTTGTATCATGACCTGCAGTGAAAGAAAGAGGCAACATGGAAGATACATGCAGAGCACCCATTTGCTCAGCTGGAGTACAACTATGGCCCCAGCACCCTGTATCACTCTTTCATCATATCCCACAATTCTGCACTAAAACAGCAAATTCCACAACTGGAATAAATATGCACTGTGTCCAGTTTGCATGCTTTTATGGTCTGCTTTTGTGGGACATGTAGAATTTTTAACTTTATAAAGCCAGTGGTACATCCTATCAAACATACCTTGAAAACTGATATTCAAGTTTAATACCTGTTGCACTGAGACAGAGCCTCGCTCTTAAAGCAGCTGCTGCTCTGATAGCGCAGGATCTCCTAAAAAGAACCCTAAGGCCAGTGTCTTCACATTCTCAAGGCTGAAGAATGTGGTCATGCTGAGGGTTCCCCATGATGGACAAAGGACCATGAGTCTTCTCCTTGTCCATACACTGATCAGCACCTACTTGTAGCCTGTGATGGGACATCTCTGCCTCCACAGTAATCCCCAGCCAACTCCTCCCTCCCCAGGTGCCAGGGCTGACAGCAACCTAACACTATTACTCTAGACCTACAAAAGGTGAGGTTGTTAGCAGTGAAAGGCAATTATATTGTTCCAAAACTGGAATGATCCCAACCAGGCAGGACTGAACATAAGACGGTTGTGGAGAATTGGAAAAGGAACCAAAACAGTAGAAATCTGGGATCTCTCTAAGTACAAAGCTTGTGACAACACCCAGATGACCACTGCTCCAAGTCCAGGAGTCTCTCTCTCCTGGATATAAAACCAAAACCTTGTGATTAAGCCAGGACCCAGCACATGGTGACTTGATCCCAAAAGCTATGGATAAAGGCACATTGTGGGATGCATCAGAACTGGAGCAGCTCCCCCAGAACAATGTCAATCCATGGGGAGGGCAGAATAACTCATCACCCATACCTCAGCCCCTTAGAACTTCCAATGGCTGTATGTGGCACTGGACCCACAAAGGCAGTCTTCTTGTCTTCTTGGGGTCCAGGGAAGAAGTGAAACCCCTTTTCTCCAGAGATACTAAAAGTAGTGGCCAAGTAGATCTAACCAAGCATCTCACTCTCACACATGAAGGTGTCGACCTCAGCTGTGATGTCTTCGTCAGACAGGTGATGACCCTCTTCATCCTACAAGCTGAAACCACGTGTTGGCCAAGGCAGAACTGTTGCCTGATTGCCTAAGAAGCTCACTAGCATCTGCTGGTGGTGGGCAGCTTGCTCAGGAATCAATGTCCAATGAAGCTTCCGCTTTCACTGCCCTCAAACAGCCCATCCCTGCCACAGCTGCTGCCACCTTCCCACTTTTCAGATGGTGAAAGGCAGTGCCATATGCACAACTGTAAAGCATGTTTCTTTTAAGTTACATTTTGAATAGCAGCACTCTGACCCAATCAACCACTGCATTTTGTTAGTGGGAGGAACTGGCCAGTGAGGGCCCAGGAGCAATGTAAAGACTGCCTTGTGTCCTCATTTGAAAAGTCCTCCCTATTAAAGGAAGTGTCCATTTGGTGCAGAGCACTACAACTCAACATGTAAATAATTAGTTTTCTTTCAAAAGTGCATGTGGGGCCTGCAGGTAGGGTAGCCAGCTACTCCAACACTTTGCCAGCCAAACAGGCCATCCAAACAAGTGGCCAGGCAGAAAGCAGCAGCAGCAAGCAGGGGGAGTAGTGGCAGATGAGGAAGCTTCAGTGGCAGATGGGTCCCTTGGATGGGCCAAGGGGGCTTGAGCAAACAGGTGAGTGAGGGGCTTCAGCAGCAGTACGGCAGCACGATGCTGATCATTCACTGGAATCCAGTGTTGGCCCTGGTTGCGAAGGGCGTCTGTTCCTATCAACATCCCCACCTCACAAGAATGAGCCGTGCCATTCCTGACTTGCTACCGTAGTGCCCGGTACCTTGGACAACAGCAAATCAATGAAGTCCATGGTTTCATCCTGCTTCGATTTGACCCAAGCATCACGCCCCAAGTGGCTAAGTGTGATGCGCTGTTGCCGAATCACATTAGCTGTGAAACGATGCATGATGGCACATGCATGATGGAAGTGGTGGCCATCAGCTGTCCAGTGGCAGACCCAGTCAAAATGACGGAGCAGTTGGTGCTGATGCCGCACTACGAGGGAGCTGAGTTCTAAGATGGCTGCAATGTCATCGCTTGATCTCCTGAAACATATTAAGTCAATTTGTCAGCAGAAAACATGAGAGGAAATCTTAATAAAAGCTGCCCTAGACTTTAGGAACATGTTTTCTGGCACAAGGGTGAGCAGAAGGTAACTCTCCAGATGTTGGGACTTCAACTTGCAGAAGGCCCTGTTATGACAGGTAATGTTGGGGAACAATACCTGATCGCCTGACATAACAGCCTATGCAGCAGGGCCAATAAACAAGCATGGTGGGCCTTCAAGGTCCAAAACATCTGAAAACCTACTTTTTCCCCAGCCCGGTCCTAGAAAATACTGGAACAATGGCTGCACTACTGTGGCTCCAACAACACCTACTGAACGCAGGCAATAGCTGCTTCTCCTCAGCACAGAAATTCCAAAAACTATCATGTTTTGCAGTTAGAATGTACATCATGCTGACATCCAGGAACACTCATGATGTTCGAGTAAGACGGGTGTGGCACAATCCTATTAATTCTTATTCGACAGTAAGTTTCACTGAATTCAGCTGGTCTTGCTCCCTAGAAAGCATACTTAGGATTGTAGCCTTACAGTTGAATTCCATGCAAATTTACTCAGGAGTAAATCACACTGAGCACAAAAGAGCAGTTCCTTATGTAAATAAAGATAGAGAGCAAGTGCCAACCCAATGTTGTAGGACTAACAGTGCCAATGGTCAGGGATGATGGTTGTTGTAGTCCAACATCACCAGAGGGTCACAGGTTCCCCACTCCCAAATGGGATTGCAGCCTTACCTTTCCAAGTAACAGGTTCACGTTTAAACTTGCTGCAGAGCTTTCTGGGAAGCCCTACCCACACATTTGTGATATCCGTGTGTGTGTGTTGGTTCTTTCTATACAAAACCTTTCCACACCTGCTCGGCTATAGTGACTATGGTCCCTAGGAACACTCTTTGTAAGTATCTTCAATAAATATTTGCAGGGACCCTCACAAAACCACACTTCCCAATTTCTTGTGCAGAAGCCACAATGGCTAGGTAAATTGTAGCACACCTACAATTTCATATTCATACTGGAGAAGGCTATTTTGAAGCTCAAACTTCCACAGCTCCTTGTGGAAGCATCCTGACTACTGGCCTCTGCAAAACTGGCTCTTATCACCATCTGAGTGGGATGGTGTAAATTGGTGTTCTGAAACAGCAGTCGGTTGAACCTGACAGCCTTCATGGCCCCTTCCAGCTCTGCTTTCAAATCATATGATTCTATGATTCTATATTTCCTCACTTCAGCAGGAGGTGCTAAAGTGATGTCCCTGTGGGAGAAAGCTCATACTCAGAGAACAAGTCGGTAGCTGCTGCTCCTCCTGGGACTCGTTGGACTCCTGGCATGTGCCTTGCAGCTCTTTGTGATGTGGGACTACAGTGCTGAAGTCAACCTTCTCCAGAAGCCATGGACAAAGGCATTGTGGAGCAAATTGTGATGGGGCAGTCAAGAAACTGGAAAGCCACTGGCTCCCTAGGTTCCTTCTTGCTTGTTCACTCATTCTTGACAATTGCTTTCAGACTGAAGACACATTTCCGCAAGCTGTCCAGGGTTATGAGGCTGATATGTTCAAACATGTCAAGGGAGGCAGGACCCCCTGAGGTCTGCCTACACCACCTGGCCTGCAAAAAGAGGATGATCATGAAATCAGAGCCAACATTGCCAGGAGGAACCAACACAATTGTGTGACGTGGCAAAGTCCCTTGACTCCCTTCCCAGGGGGAAGGTTTTCATTTCATTTCATTTCATTTCATTTCATTTCATTTCATTTCATTTCATTTTGTTAAAATTTTCCTTTTGTCCTTTGTGTGTGTGGGTTTTTGTCTGGGAGAACTGGGAGAGTGAAGAGTAGTGCAGGACAGACAAGGCGGGGGACCAAGGCAGGGTCTCTGAGGGGTTCCCAATGGCAGGCCAGGAGATGGCCTTGGCAGGAATCACAGGAGTCACTGTCCGCTGCAGCAGCTGTGACATGTTTGCCCTTCTCCCCCAGGAGCAAGCTGGTGACCCTCCTAGAGGAGGAGGTGAGGTGCCTGAGGGCCGAGAGAGCTCTCCAGGCCCCCGGGAGCAGGCCCCCTCCAGAGAGAGGGTTGCAGGAGGAGCCACAGAGGAACAGCCAGGGAGACATGGAGGCATGTCACCCAAAGGAGGAGGCGGCCAGCACGGCCTCCTTCTCCTGGCGCCAATCTGGAGCTGGGAAACAGGTACTCTCCATTTGGGGAGGCTGGGGCTGATGAGGCCTTGGGGGACCAACAGGACCCCCAGCCTGGGACCACATGCAGCCAGGGGGCCACTGCAGGGGAGGCAAGGGCCAGGGCACAGCCACCTACCACCACCAGGAAGAGACGACGGCGGGTGATCATCATTGGGGACTCCCTGCTGAAGGGCACTGAGGTGGTGGTGTGCCGCCCCAGCCTTGAGGCGAAGGAGGCCTGTTGCCTGCTGGGTGCACACATCTGGCATGTGAAGGACAGAGTAGAGCATCTTAGTCGCTCTGGGCACAAATGACATAGCCAGGCAGGGTATGGTCAGGATCACCAGAACTTTGAGGCCTTGGGGAAGAAACTCAGGGACCTAAAGGCCCAAGTGGCCTTCTCATCTACCTTAATGGTCCAGGGATTTGGGCCAGGCGGGGAAAGGAGGGTCACAGAGGTGAACGACTGGCTTAGGGTGTGGAGTGCTTTGGGTTCCTCGACCGTGGCACCCAGTTTCTTGCCAATGGACTTCTGGCAAGGGATGGGTTGCACATCATGAGGATGGGGAAAAGGTCCTTTGGAAATGCTCTAGCAAGCTTTGTCCAGAAGACTTTAAACTGAGCTGGGCGGGGGGGTCAGGCCCCCCAGAGACTTGTCCGCACAGGACAAGTGTGAGGAGATGATCAGGGCTCTGGGTGTAGGGTGTTAGAGGTACTGCAGGGACTGACAGGACTCCTACAAAGAGAGAGCCGGTATCAGGGAAGATGGGAGGAAGTAGGGGGCTGGGGATTCCAAGAAAGGAAGCTGTGGGAAGGAGCGGAGGTGCATGTACACCAATGCTATTCCTCACTCAGACTCCCAGATTCTTGGAACTGTTTCTGGTTGGAAAGCAAAATGGGAGATAGTCAGTTTGGACCCAGTAATCTGTCCATCCCCTGCATGTGGGATATCTGCCTTTGAGCAGGGAAAATGGCATTAACATTAATTCATGTGAAAATGTATTTATTTTGTGGGGGGACACAATCGACCTTTTAATATTAGGAAAACTATTTGAGAAGGGGGCAGGATGGCCCTGCGACATCACAGGAGTCAGCTAGCCATGGCTTTCTACAGCAAGCAAGAGGTTGCTTGCAAGCAAGAGCATGAGCTGATTGCCCTGAGGCCACCATGTGTCCAAGGAGACTGGTCACATCATAGGTCTGTGCTTATTTTCTCCCTCTTGGTGCTCCCACAGGTATTCCAGGGGACCCAGCAAGAGTACCAAGGTTTCCCTCCATCCTCACCAAGGGCACAAGCTGCTTTTGATCCACCAGGGTTTTTCCCACTTCTTTTATCTTGTAAATGACTCTTCTCAAGCCAGCTTTTAATGATCCTAATGATCCCAAAGCAGTCCCTCTAGTGTTACCCTGGAGGGGCTCTCTGAAGTGGCTATATACATAAATTATTTCCCCCTAAATTAATTTTCACAAATAGGACCCATGACAGGTTCGAGTTACCTGGATTCAGACAAAATCTAAATATAAAAAAACTAAATTTATGGGGAATGCATCTATTTCAGCCAGTTAAACTTGGGAGAAGGCTCTTGCTTTTGGAAATATTCACCATCATTTATTAGGAAGGGAATATAGTCACCCCTGCCCTTGGGATACAAATCATTTTCAAATGACATACAGTCATGTCTGCACTGAAGGAAACTTCATTCAGCTCAAAAATACTTTCTTTAGTGCATATAGGTTTGCAGCCCTAAACCAGCATACTGGATAGGGGGAAGGGACATGATGGTGAAAGTCCCCATATGTGACATTCTTTCTACTGGGGCTTGAATGGAGACAATCATTTCTTGTTCCACTTGTGCTGCTAATTAACATAGCAAAACTTGAAGTCTGTCATACTGTTGATCAGTTACTGTTGCTGTGAATGGTTACTATTGTTATCCTAACTTTTTCAAGAATTGTAAGACTGTAAGTTTTACATTTCATGGCCATTTGGTTTCACCCTCCCCTGGAACTCCTCTTTTGGAGAATACCAGCTTTCAGGTCAGCAAGAAAATTTCCTGGAAGATTGAAATGTTCCGCCACTAGTTCCTGCAATTTGTGTTCATTTGTCCTTCTATGCAGAGACATAGTTGGAGGAGAATTTTGCATTTAATTGCCATTTGACCCCCTCCCCCACTCCATATAGCTGGAGTGGGCAAATTGTGGCCCTCCAAATGTTTTGGCTTACAACTCCCATCATCCCTCACCACTGGCTATGCTGCTAGGGCTGAAGGCAGTTGTAAGCGAAAACACGTAGAGGGTCACAAAAATCCCTCTTCTGTGCCTGGGTGTGTGTGTGCACACCTGCTAACTTAGAATAACGCATTGTGCATATGAGGAGGTAGGTATGCTCCATCCAAAAAGGCTTATACCACACATGGGCTATAATACTTGGGCTGGTTAAGGTGTGTAACTGTGTAACTTAGGCAGAACTCCTATCCTTGCTTGACTTGCCAGCATTGATGTGGAAAGAACATTATTTGTTAAAATGCTGCGTGTCGGGTGACCATTAAAGCCATAAATCTCCTATCATGGAGGACCTCTAGGGAGATGTCTGCTAGATGCGGAAAGACCTAGAACACCTGGACCTATTTTCCTGTCTTCTTGCAAGTATGTGAGATTGGGTGGGTTCACACAACACAAGAAGCCACACTGTGGAACAAGCTACACAGTATGATTTGTTTATCCCAGACTGTTAACAGTGTGGTCTGTGTCCCATAGATGACTGGGTACATTGTGGCTCCAGAACCACTTTCCTGCTCCCTCAGTCCTTCCACAAACACCCCAGGAGACAGTTTCCCACTCTGTATAGCTACCGTGAACTATCCATGTTTGCCATGGCTTGTTTTTCCTTTTTAAAACTATTTTTCTGAGATCATGAAAGTGGGCTGTCAAGGATTCCCCTCCCTTTTAAAGCACTTTAAGACTAATTACGTGCTCAAATAACTATTTATTATTATTTTATTATTTAGAAAGCTTCTATGCCGCCCCATTCGCCAAAGCCTCAGGGCGGCTTACAACAACAAATAAATAACAACAATATAAAACAATGTAATTGGAGACGTCCTGGCCAACTGTGCCCATTTTTGTCATTGAACTGCTCTGTTTGTGCAAACAGAGCAGGTCAGGTTAAAAAGGGGCCCCCTGGGGTAGGTACTAGCAGGGGGGCTGCCTGCGGGCAAAATTTATCAGGTGCTCACCTTGCAGAGTGTCTAGCACAAGCTGCAGGCAAGTCTTCCTTCCCTGTTTACAAGCAGCTTTGATTCAGACCTGAAAGGTTGGAACCGGGTAGCGACTTGCAGAGTGAGGCTGCCCTTTGCAGGGCTGCTCTTTCCGTGCCAGCAGAACTGCTCTCTGCAGAACTGCTCTTTGACTTGCCAGCACCGACATGGAAGAACATTATTTGTTAAAATGCAACAGCAGCAAATTTGTTAAAATTTGGCAACAGCAGCAGAGGTTCTGTGACTCACTAAGCAGCTCTGTGGTGGTTTGGCTTGCCCCACCGTGTTTTCTGGGTTCAGATGATGCATCACGGTGCCATGGGACAAACTAACCCTAGAAGCCAAACTTAAGCCACCCTGTCAAAACCATCCTCAGTTCAGATACTTCGCTAAGCACTGAGGTGTCAAAGCCTTCATGCCTTAGCATGTCGTGGAAACCCAGTCATTATGAACTTCGAAGTGCAGAGAAACTCACACCAAGGTGATCTGTAGAACTACACAATACAGGTCCATGGGCTATGAGGCAGTACAGAAGTGCAATTAATAAAAATAAAATTGACCATTCAAAACATAAAGTGCTATGTCAGAATCAGGCCATACTTTGGCCCCAGAAGGCAGAAAAACAAGGGTGCAGGAGAGAAGCCAAGATCAGAGGTCAGATCTGTTTTTGTGGAATCCAAGGTTGAACAACAAATCCCAGGAACTGGAGAGACCCAGATATAGGAATGTCAGTTTTCCCTTGCCCAGCAGGGTTCTGTGTGTGGAAAGCAGGGTACCTTTCGCATGGTGCAGGGGCATGGCTGGACTGAGCAGGCAACAAGCACAGAACCAACACAGCATAGCACCCTGCTTCTGACCTCCTCCCCTTCATGGAGCACTGCCTTGTCGTGGCGAAGGGGCTTGTGTAGCTCAATGAAGCCATCAGTGCCGCCTGAAATAGGAGCCGAACGATCACAAGCTGCCTGTGTCTGCCCCAGGGTGGCCTCCACGACTGCCTGGGAAATCGTGCTTAGGGCAACCTTCTGATTTGGCAGTCAACAAGCCAGGAATCTAAAAAGGTGCGTGAAAGGATGGGGGGCAGCTGGGCAGCAACTTCCCTGGCCGCAAGGAAATTTGGTGCCAAACTCAGACGTAGGCCTTGCAACGAGTCCTGGAGGGAGCGGCCCCTCCGCAAAGAGCCCAGAGCTGGTGCCCACTTGGGGATCTTCCTTACCTGGCCGCAGAGTAGCTGCGCTTCTCCCTTTCTTTATTGTCTGACCGAGGAGGGGGGAGCCACTTGGGAGCCACC